TTTGTTAGAAAAATAATAGCGGATCCTGGGAGGCTGCCTGATGATTTTTTTACATTTTACAGTTAGGACGGTCTTTTTATAGACTGAGGTTGTTTAGTATCCCCGTCGTCTATGGCTTACAAGGCAAAACTACTGGAGAAACAGAATCACTAACGATGCAAAATTACCTTAAGGAGTCTGGTAAGCTGTTGCACACCTTAAGAACACCTTGTTATTTTATTCCTGTTGCATGACTGCATATCTGGTGTTTGCATAGGAGGACGTGATACCATAAAAGAAGAACTTTGCATTTAACTCACTTTCATCAGCCTAAGACCTACTGCCATACATTTCTTGTTTTTCTTCAGCGATTTCTTTTTTTTCACCTGTCCAAACATAACAATGCACACATGACACTACTACCAAAGTGGTACACTATTCCTTCCAGCTGCTTCACTCACCATGTAATGGTGAAAGCTCGGAAGCATAACTAGCAGCTTGACTTTCACCTGCTATATGATTAATTTGGATTATTATTATTTGACTCATGCAGACTGAAATCGGATTTCCAGATGATGATCCTTCAGAAAGATTGATGTGCTGGTCTTAGTGTACATCTATACCATATATTTTTTAGTATCAGCACACCAAACAAGATAGGAAACACAATAATATTGTATAATAGCTAGTGATAATTAAATGATGTATACTGTTCTACCCTAGCAACACAATAAAACATTAGACAATAAAACTGTCATGGTTGGGTGGAGCTTTTTGAGGACCTAAATGCAGAGACCAGGAGGCAGAGGTGAGTCTTGCAGGTTTAATGAAGCAGAAACCCAAAAATCCAAAATAACAAATAGAGAAAGTCAGGATTAAGGGGACATCAGGGAAAAGACACATGTGGAGCCAGGGCAAGACGAGGAACCAGCACTGAGGAACTTCACAGGGAGAGTAAATATGGGAACAAGACAAGGAACAGGTGTGGATGGAAGCATCTAGAAGGAAGCCGAGGAGAAAGGAAACAAACACAAGGGGGCAACAGAGAGTAACTCAAAAATATAACCAAAAACAACTAGAATAACACAAAATGGAAATTAACCCAATAAACTAGAAAACACAGAAAGACAAGAATAAAAAATTATAACTGAAAACTCAAAAAGAAAACTTAAACAGAACCAAAAAGTTCAGAGTCATGAGTTCACTTGTTCAAAGCTACAGAATCACAAACGATGTTACAGGTCAAGTTTGTACACAGAAAAAAATGACTTTTTGATTGTCACATGGCAGACAACAATCCAAACAACAAACTAGAGTTTTTAAATGTATCACCTTTTATTGATTAATAAGGTAAAATGAGTGGAATGTAAATCTAATATGCCGTAAGTCAAAACGCTCCACACCAAAGCAATGCAGGGTGTTTCCCCTATAATCTGATGTTTTTTGTTTTTGCAAAAAAAGTCCAAAAACAAATAGCACCAGTTTCATCCATCCATCCATCCATCCATCCATCCATCCATCCATCCATCCATCCATCCATCCATCCATCCATCCATCCATCCATCCATCCATCCATCCATCCGTTTTATTACCATTACCAATCTGGTCTTGGATTTGTTTGTTGATCCATTTTGGTACCAGCATAAATTATTGCAGTATTTAAAAAAGGAACTTTAGCATTCAGCTTAACTTAGTGTGTTAATTAAGCAATAGATCACACAGAAGCTGCTCTAATCATCTCCTCTACATTTCAAACTGATTCACTAGATGGAAGATTTCCGCATTTCTTTTCATTACAAGCCACAGTCGGAAAAAAGAGCTAACTTCAGCTGCCAGGGACAATATTCTCATGTATAGATGGGAAGTGGAAGTCATTGAGCTACTCCAGAGCCATCTGCCTCTACATCACATAATGTAATATGGTGATAGACCTCAGAGCAGCCCTTGTTTCAGAGCTATTTCACTATTCCCCTTTTTGTGGTACCCAAATGAATATACTGCACTTCAATGGATCCGGATCAATTTGCATCAAATTGAAGGGAAATACGTAGTTATGTGTTAAAAGCCTGATCTATTCCTGTGCGAGATCAGCTGAAATGAAACCTAATGTCTGCATTTAGTTCTGAAGTAATATGTGTTCCTCAAAACATCTGATTCTGATGGATTTCATCTATGAATTAAAAACTTTCAAGCTTTCTACACCAACACTTTACACTCCATGATGCATACAGAGGGATTTTATATGCCTCTGCAAAGCACTTGTCTTAGAGGGCAGCCAAGTCTCTTTGTTTAGAGCATTACAACTGACTCTGACTCACTCGTTGTCACGCAAAGGAGGGAGTGTCCCAGTGGATGCAACAGAGTGCTCCGACACTCCCCTGTCGCTACAGAGGTTTCTGATGTAAGCACCTCTGAGCAAAGGAAATGACTTTAAATCAGATCAAAGAAGTGACACCACTTCAAGAAAAGAGACATCCACACAGCATCAACCGCTGATGCAAAACTAGACACTAGCATAATTAAAGCATCTGCATACAGATACATGCGTAAGAACTGCTTTTTTAACATGATGAGGAGCTCTTTAAAACTGTAGTTATGCCATTTTTTTATATAAAGGCTTTGAATTGAAAGGAAAGGAAATTGTTAATGGAAAAAAAAAAGCTGAAACAGCTTATTCTGTGCCTCGTTTAGCTGTAAAGTAAAAAATGAATTTTCCCTGCAACAGTGGACATCTTGGTTGCTAGGTGGCTCTAGGTGTCAGATGCATATAAATGTTGTCTGTGATTGGCTTTCTTATTGCTTATCTTCAAGCAACTCTTTCCTAATTTTTCTGCATTTATCTCAAGCGTATCTTCATACCTCTTTTTATGACCTATTTGGAAATAACTCTTTTGTCTTTATCTCATTTTTAACTTTCCTTTCTCTTTGATTCGTAGAATGAAATTATATTTGAATTATAAAAATCATGAGATGACCACTTTGTCAAAACGTAGAACTGCTAATCAGCCATAAAAACAAATTTTAATCAAAGTTAGAACAGAGAGAACTGCTGGCCCAGCGTGAGAATATTGTGCCATCCGAGTGATGTTTTAATTTTGTCTCCATATAGTCCTCTGACAGGGCAGAGTTGATTCCATCACTATGGAAGAAGTCGCAGAGGAAGGGTTTTGTTGGTAAATGCGATTCATCCAAATGCAATGAAGGCTTTCTAGTTGTTGCATTGACATACAGTACCTCTGTAAAGGTATATGGAGGACTGGAAACATGCCTCACAGAGTGGCAGACTTGCGTTGTTGGTCATATTTTTTCCAAAGTGGACGACGGAGTGTTTCATCTATTGAGGGATGAGACTTCTCAGTATCTCTAAGAAAGCTTATACTTTGGGGTTGGCTCTCATCCAGGTCATTGGAGCCTGCTTCCCTCCATGTTGTTTAGACTAATTTCTACTCCAGTACACCTGATGTAAATAACTGCATTACCTTATTTAAGATGTGTGATAGCAGGGTAACATGAGGAGCAAGAGACACTGAGGACGAGAACTGAGAAGGACTTCTTCAAGTTGTTGCAAAGATCTTAGATTCCGGAGATTCCAGAGCAGTTTGGCCTCCATCCTGGCCATAGAGCAGTGGACCAAATCTTCGGCCTCGCAGAATCACTGAGGTGGTCAATAGACTTTGGTTATCTGTTCAGCATGTGAATTATGTGTTTGGGAAACACTTACCACCATGAAGCATGATGGGGGGATTCATACATTGAATAAGCAAAAGCATAGGCTTTGCAGAAATGTGGGTGTGACCCAAAAGGTGATTGGAGGTAACTATCTCAATTTGTGGTATTGAGTAACCTCATTTTATATATAATCATAGAGAAGAGAGTGTCTGACTTGTCTTGGAAACCCCCCAGGTTTAATCTTTGTTTGAATTATGTGGCTCTATTTGTAGTTGACAAATGGTTTGAGAATCAAAGTTGGGCTATTATTCTACATCAGAAAATTAAAGACTGACCCTAATAGGTGAAAGGAAAGTTGTTCTTTTGTTGTCTTGCTTTAGGATAAATGGTATGACGGAAATGGACAGAGTGAGTTGGGGTCTCATCCGTAACCTGTAGAAAAATTAGACCTATAAATCTCTGTGTTTCTTGATAAAAACCGCCAAAGACTTTAATTTTTATGATTATCTGACCCAACTGTGAGGAGACCCCGGGATAGACTGAGAACCCCTCAGAGGAACTGCAACCATTTCATCCTAGAGACGCTTCAGAGGTCATTTTTTCCAGGGTTGTCTAGGTTTCCCTCACAGACCTTTGAAAAACTGCTGTTAGCTTTTCTAAGCACTGGTGATAAAATAGAACATTATTTCAAAAATAACCCTCTAGCTCTATTCTGGCTTTGTGCTTAGCTACAAGTGCGATCAGATTTATCATGCATATTTAAGAGGGTCTCTTGCAGTCAAAAGTAGTCACACAAAGGCAAAACCAGATGCAGAAGAGACATGAGTGCTTGGCATGGAAACCGAGTCCTTCCTACAAAGACTGCATTTTGTGGATGTCTTAAAGGCGCTTGTTTGTCACTCTGTGTAAAAGAGAGCACAAAATGAGCAGAGAAAACCCAGTAAGCTTCTCTATGAGCTTGTTCATCAAAGCCGATGAGAGAAAATCTTTTTGAAGTTTAAAAACCATATTGTATGAGTTTTAAGAGCACAAATTAAACGGCATAATAAGGATCTGCTTGTTTGATCCATCTGCTCCTCGTTTAGGAGTCTTTTATTTGTCTGCCTTCCCAACCAAATAAATTATTGCAATAATAATACAAATCTACTTAGTCAGGAAAAAGACTTTTTCACTGCATTCAAAGCAAATATTAGTTATTATAGAGATATGGGGGAAGCAGATGGCTTCCATGCTGGAATGCTTGTAAAGCAAAGTTCACTAATTTGTGTAGTGAGTCGGGTGTTTCTGCTGTTCAGCTTAAATAATAACGTTACAGCTTAGTAAACCTTGTTTCTCCTCTTCATGTCTTGTAGTTGGGATGACAGCAGCTCAGTGAGCAGCGGCCTCAGCGACACATTGGACAACTTCAGCACCGATGATCTGAACACCCCGACGTACTCCGCTGCCAGCTCGTCGCGCAAAAGCAAGGGAGCACAGGTGGGAAAGGAAAAAAAGTCAGGAACAAAACCGAGCTTTAAAGCTGCAGTTTCTCTCAGAAACCCTTGGACATTTTCACATTTTGTCACATTATTCATTTAAACATACTTGAATAGGATTTATTGGGTTAGATTAACACAATGGCATATAATTGCAATGTGAAATAAAAAGATATATCTTTTCTTTAAAAAGCAACTCCCACATCATGATGCTGCCTCAAACAGCTTATATGGTAGGAATGGTGGGTTTGGAGTGTTAACCTTAAAACATTCTTATAAATCACATGCACATGCATACTATTTTAATTTAGTTGGAGCACTGATGTTTTAAGTGGCATGGATGTCCATTCTCCTGAGCACATTTCAAGGCAAATGCAAATCAAAGACCCACCCGTCATTCTCCTGTGTTTTTGTATTCTTTTGTTCGTGTATGGCAAGGGTAACCAATTAAAAATACGAATAAAGAAAATCAACAACCAGGTAAAGGTCTGGAGACATTTTATAATTATAATCCGTAACTTTATACTGCATTTAACACTGAAATAAAATTCAGGTGATTATAAATCCATGTTATATATTGAACTTTTAAATAAAAGATATAAAAAATAGAACTTTTTTCCATTTTAAAATCTAAATTGTTTTTGAAGTAGAGGACAGCAATCTTTCAGTTTGTTATAAAGACAATTTCCTGACTCACTTTTTTTTATAAAACACCTGAAGTGACCGTCTTTGTTTTCTTTCTTTTTTATGGCTTAATGAGAGAATTGTGATTTAGGCTGCCCTGCAAGGCTTTAAATCTGAGTTTGATTGGCGACAAAGCTATTCTATCAAGGTGCTCATTTTGAGCCTGGATCAATATTTATTTTTGATTATGGCCGTGGTGGAGAATCCTGCTTCACAGCAGCAGGTTGAGCCAAACATACTGAAAATGTGCAAGGTCATCTTTTAGCACACCATTTCTCTTTTCTTTCTCTAGTTCACTGAGCTTTTTCCAGCAATCCACACTGTTTCTGCTCTTTTTCTACTAGTCTTCTACTTCTTTCCCATTGATCCTGACTGACACAGCTCATTGGCTAATTTGTATCCCGTGCAGCCTGGTGGCAGATGCTCCGTATGGCTTTAGACACTGTCGTCGGACAACATGCAGTAATTAATAAATGTTTTAAACCAGGTTGGGTCCGAATTAGCCAGCAGGTGGGTCCGGATCCGGACCCTGGTCCGCTAATCTCTGACCTCTTGTGTATGGGTTATGTGACTGCCCATCTGAATCACAATGATGTTCTAGTGTGATTAAAAAAGCCAAACATATAATCCATACACAATAAAAAATGATGGGTAGGTCTTTGATCTGTATCAGATTTGACAGATCTGACTGACTGTGATCAGGAGGACGAGCCTCCATGTTGCTGAAAACTCAGCTTTCCAACTACAGTTTTAGTTACGTCTTCAGTAAAGGGGCCTTACTAGTTACGTCCTGAGAAAGTGTTTAGAGAAACTGATCATGTTGCTTCTGAATCCTGGTTTGGTGTTCCATGACCTGGATAACTGAGAATTTACAAAGGCATGTTTAGAATGTAGGTTTTTCCACACAAACCACATTGGACAATCCTCCACCTGACCCGTGAATTGCTGCAGCTCCTCTAGAGGTGCCATGATGATCTTGGCTGCTCCTCACATGAATTGTCTATCAATACTATTGTAGCAGGTCACTGGATGGTATATGGGAATATAGAGGCTAAAAAGAGATGCATACTATATGTTTTATAAACAAACAAAAATAAAAAAAGTGCAGAAGGTATGAAGGCCTTTGGAAGGCCAAAAGAAAATAAACAGCCTCTCTAACATCTTTGTTTCGGCCTGAAGTGAAGGCCGACCGTTGCGTCAGCTTTGGAGTCACAGCTGACAATAGGAGCTGTAAGAGCTGCATTCAGCTCTCCTCTGAGGGCCTTGGCTATATTCTGCCAAGCATCCTTTGCTCCTTATGAAATACTCAACAGACTGGCTTCTTAAGAGACGCTGGCGTTGCTAGGGATACTGACCATCTGTTAAGGTATGGGTTGCTTGTCACTGCTCTGTGTGTTTGTGTGGAGGCGTTTGTAAGCGTCCCAAAAGTGGAGAGCTGTACGTAGGAGATTCCAAAGAAAGCTGCGACTTCACACGCACACCCTGTTGCTAGAAAAGGCGCTCGCCTGTCCTCCTGATGACTCAGATTGTGTTTAAATGTGATTAATATTTATTTAAAAAAAAAACAGATTTAGGTTTCCAAGATAACTTTACATGTATCTCCTGCATAGTGCAAAGATGAGCATCTTGCTAAAAAGATGAATTAATCTGTGATTTATTTAATCCCTACCCCTAAACCCTTCCTCCATAGTCCCAGAAAGAAAGCAGGTCCAAGCATGCCCAGCCGGAGGTGAGCAGCAGTTGGGTTGGCGCCGAAGACTTGAAAAAAGTGGACGAGGAGTTGGACCCGAGCATGGACCCTAACGGTAGCCCCTCCCGCTGGAAGCCTTCCTCATCCGCCTGTTCCCCCCAAAGCCAGGGTCAGTATGAGGACACCGGCCAGAAGGCAGCTGGGCTTGCCCAGATGTCCCAGACGGGCTCATGGCGGAGGGGCATGACAGCCCAGGTGGGGATCACACCACCCAGGACCAAGGGGAGTTCTGCTGCACTCAAATCACCAGGTGGGAGATGCAACCGTGACTGCATTTATAAACAAACTCTGCACATAAAGCAAAATTCTTTCTTGGTTGAAACCATTTGAACCATTTTTTACAATTTCTAACAGTGCAAGTCCATCTTTCTGAAATCAGAAGAAGCATATATCTGTTTTTTATGTGTTTTATATTCAACCTGCCCAACTCTGATACCTCTAAAAAAAATGCAGGAATGTTAAATCTGTAGTTTTGATTGTCTATTTTGCAGGTAAAACTGACGATGCCAAGGCCTCAGAAAAGGGCAAGGTCCCTTCCAAAAGCCCCACAGGGATACAGCGCTCACCATCAGATGCTGGGAGAAGTAGTGGGGATGAAGGCAAGAAACCTCCCTCTGGTATTGCTCGCCCACCTGCCACCAGTTCATTTGGATACAAAAAGATCCCTGGTCCTGCTGGCACGCTAATTACCTCTAGCGGCGCAGCCCTCACGGGTGGCTCAGCCACCCTGGGCAAGGCCCCAAAGTCTTCATCTGGCCTCGGCAAAGGCACAAGCATCGGCGGGGGCCGTAAAACCAGCCTAGACGGCTCGCAGCCCCAGGATGACGGGGTCCTCCTCAGCTGCAGCAGCTCCAAAGTCACCCTGCAGTACCGCTCCCTCCCAAGGCCGGCCAAATCCTCTAGTGGGGCGGCAGCAGGGCGCTGCGGGCACCGCTCCAGCTCCAGCAGCATTGAATCAAATGTCAGCGGGAAGTCCGCAGGCGGAGCAGCAACACAAGCGGGTGCCAAACGGAGGGAGGGAAAGGTTAGCTCGGACCGCTCCAGTCCCATCACCATCAACCAGACGGATAAAGAAAAAGTGGGGGTGTCTGAACAAGACCAGGCAGGCCTGTCCACCTCTCCCAAATCCAGCCCTACCTCTGGTTCAGCAGGCCAGACAGGCCTCAGGCAGCCAGGATCTAAATACCCAGACATCGCTTCGCCTACCTTCCGCAGGTCAGACACAGAATACATCCCTTCTGCTCTTATTTGTATTGATCTATTGGCTTGTTGGGTTTTGCGTGAATCAACCATTTCACCTCACTGCTTTTTATACATACTTTTTTTCTAGCTTTATAGAGCTATAGGTATCCATCATCATGCTCAGGTGTCTTTAAGATTCCATCAGATGTTTTAAGAACTTCCATTTTAGAGCTTTACTATATAGTCATTTCGATGACAGAAACATGATTTGAAGCCTATTTTCCCAGGGTTGTCAGAGACAACCGCCAAGATGCTCCTGCTTAACCATGATTTGAAATCCTTCTGTCATCTCTATTTTATCTGCATGCACAAACCATATCAACCACCCAATAAATCCTTTTTAAGGGTTTCAAAGAACATTAGATCAAATTGACAACTTAGGCATGTTGTCACATAGATTGCTCCCTAGTGTAGTTCCTAGGACTGAAGGTCCCTACAGCCTACCGTCATATGGGTGAACAAGCCAAAGCTACAGTGTGGAAGGAGTGAGTTTGGACGTGTCTTGTCTGTGTGGATGCGTTTTAGAAGCTGCTTTGTTGCTTTGAATACATTTTTACTAGATCATGTGGGATTTTATGCCATTGATCAACACAATGAAAATGTATGTTGTAATGTTGAAAAAATGTTATCTGTGCTGTAGCTTTAGATGCAGAATGTTGGGAGACTTACCCAAGAAGTTTATAATGTAACGGGTGTGGGGAAAGGAATGCACAGCAGACCTTTTTTAGATTCTCATAATCAAATGTTTCATAATGTCATCCATCTTTTTTCTTCCACTTCATAATCATGTACTTTGTGCTGATTGTCTGCATAAAATCTTAAGTATTTTGTAGTTGAATCAAATGTAAAAAGAATTCTCTCTGGTCAGGTCCTTTCAATGTCCTTAGTGTCGTTCTACTTTTCTACTCCACCTATAACAATCCTTTACATTCCAGTGCGGACTTGCAGTCGCTCCTTCTTGATCTCTGGGCCGTTCTAAACACTCCACCCACTCTTTACCCCCAGATTGTTTGGCACAAAAGCCAGCAGCAAGGCAAGTTCTCCGGGTACGCCCGACTCTGGCAAGTGCCCGTCAATCCTGGGCAGCCCCCACGGCACGCTGGCCAGACAGCCCAGCTTGGACTCGCCTTCTTCTGGCACTGGAAGCTTGTGCAGCACTGGTGGCCTAAGCGGTGGCAGCAGCCCGCTGTATGGTAAAACCCCTGACCTTTGCACTGACTCCCTGGCTTCAAGCCCGGCCTCTGGCCTTTCCCTTCCCTCCAACGCTCGTCCCTGGCCTGCCTGTAGCTCATCAGCTGGCAGCAAGGACACCCTGAGTTGCCAGAGTATGACAAGTCTGCACACCAGCTCTGAGTCCATTGACATGCCGCTGGGCCATCATGGGCCAAAGGTTACCCGTACTGGCAGTATCAAGTCCACCCTGTCCGAGGGGTGAGTAAGAAGGAATACGATTGGGAAGAATCGTATTTATTGTTTCATTTGACAACTGAGACAAACAGGCAAAGCCTTCTTACCTTAAAATGAACTTAGTTAAATATTATAATGAGGAATATTAGGGACAACAAAACAAGGTCATCCAGTACTTACATTTTCTGCTCTAGTTTTGCAAAATGCAACAATAATTCAATATATTAAGTACTTACTTTAAAACTATTGCTTAGAAAATAAATCCCAGATAATTTAGCTAATTTCAGACATACTCATTAGAAGTCTGTATCAGTGTGTTCATCGTTTTGTCTACATAGTGCATGGACTACATTGCAGAACACAGTCTCAGAGCACACATTTATATTACCTCACTAGAACAGATGGATGTCTCACAAATGAAACAATCAATTCAACACCTTACGTGTTTTTGGTTATGTAGTTCTACATAAATGCATAATATCTTGACGTTCTCTTACGTCAAGTACGTCTGTCTAAACATTCGGCTTCTCTTTCGTGTGTCGCGAAAACCAAATTATTTCAGTGTTCATCTGATCGGCCCTCCTCTGTTTCAACAGCATGCCCCTTGACAGAAACACGCTCCCCAAAAAGGGACTGAGGTACAGCGCATCCGCGTTCGTAGCTTTATTTGTTGTCTGTCTGCACTTGCATGCACCAGTGCATGTCTATATTTTACATGCTATTGTATGTTTTTCATGCTTCAGTGTTGAGCAGTTACTTCTAATTGGTGTTTAATTGCTTAAAAGAATATTGGCCTGTATGATTTGGGAAGTTTACATTTCATATACAGACCCCTCTATGCTTACAAGTCAATGTTATGAAACGTCACCTTGGATTGTGTATTCATCTTCCATTACGTCCTACTGTCACTTATGAATTCCATACCAAGAAAGATAGGCCACAACCAGGTAGTATCAGTCCACTATTTTTCGGTTAAGAACTATGGCTATGGATTTAAAGCCAGTAGCTTTACCTGCTCCAGTGAGCCCTGAATGTCAAGGCCAGAAGAATCCAACAGAACAACATCATCTGCAAATAGCTGACACCCCGAACTTCCAAACCAGACATCTCCCTCTCCAAATCTATACAGTACTTTAAAGACCCTGTCCAATGATTAGAGACAATGGGCTGCCCTAGTAGAGTCCAGATACTCAGGAGACCTCATGTAGTCCAACGAACAAACTCCCATAAAACCCCTCATCAACTCTGCCAGGATGAAGATGTAGCCCAATGTCTCAAAGTCAATTTGAAAGCCAAACTTCTTTCTTCAGAGTCTAAGGTTGAATAATCGTTTGGTGTTTCCGTTCAACACCTTTGTGTACATATTTTAAATGTTTTTATGGCTTTTTAATGTTGATCGGTTCTTATCTTATATTCGCTTGTAAATTTTGGGGGAAAATTGCCTTTTTTTTGTTACCCAATATATGTGGATAAAATTTGGGCGACACAAAAGCACTGATAATCAGGTTTGGATCGGATCAACTCAGGTGACATATCAACCAGATTTAATCATCGATAGATGTTCTTTCGGATTGCCTTATCTTTTTAACACTTTTTAACCACTGCTAAGTTTTGCTTGGCAAAGGCAAACATCTTTTTTATACCCACTTATTCATAGCCTATGTCATTTTACTCCAAAAAGGGTTCAATGTCCTTTCCTCTTATGGCAAAATTTCCCTAGTTTGTCAGTTTATTGGGTGCTTTGTTATGCACTCTGCCCTTTACCTCGCCCCAAAGGCCTTCAACGATAGAGCCATAGAAGAAAGTGGACTTTGTTTGTGATGATCCAAGCTTTTTTTAATGACATAGCTCCCAAACAATTGCTTGGGTTAGGGTTTGGTGCATTTCTACCATCCACATCAATGTGGAAAAAGGTGAAGTTGCCAATTAGGAAAATGTCTAAAGGGGGATTCCACCTGTTGCTTAAAGACTATAGTATTTAAACAGTTTAAACCTGGACTACACCATTTGAAACTCATTGTAAAAGCTTTATAACGATGTTTGGGATTGGTGAAAGCTTTATTTGATTTGTAAAAGTACAAAAAAAGACATAAACATGTCTTTTTTTCCCGGTTTTTGGACACCTTAAAACTGCTCCAAAACAAAAGTATATAGGTCCATCAAACCTGGATTAGATTATTCTGCAAAAATAGTATAATCTTTAACATACAATTTTGGATTTGTGAAACGTTTGTCTGATTGCCCTTTTAGCCATTTTCAGAATCGGATATGGAATTGGAATCCTTCAGCTCTTTTTTTTTTTTTTTACTACAGATGGTTGTTTAGTCCTTTTTCAGCTTTTTTTGAAACCAGTCCATCTGCTTTACTCTTAAATGATAGCTTGGATGGTTAATATGAACTGGACTTGGGGGGCAGCTGCTGTGATGCTATTTATTGAAGAATGAAGATTAGTCAACACCTACTGTGGTAGAAAAGTATTTTACAAGTTCCTGAGAGAAATCGGGCTAAAAAGATGGTTCTGGATCATTCATCTAAAGTTATCATCAATGTATAAATATAGTAAAAATCTTTGGTAAAATGTATTTTAAAAGAAATGTTTTAGGGGTGCTAATAAATGGGGTACCTTTTTATGGATTTACTCAAATTAAAGGTATTTTATAAAATAACTGGTTAAAATATATCAGTTTATTTCATGTTTTTTATAGCTAGCTTTAGTATTTAAACAAGTGTTTTTAAAATCACCCTAATCTAAAAATGGCTCTCATTTGCGGCTGTTTGAAGTTTTTTTAAGTTATTCTTCAGAGCAGATTAATTAAATTACAATTTTAAAACTATTTTCTTGTTTACGCTGTCAGTGGTATATTTGCCCATTTAGAGCCTGAAAGGATCTCATATACTACACCTCTATCTGCCTTCTTATTTATGCTCTTCAGCTCAAAAAGTGGTGACTTTTCCTCCTTTTCTGTTCCAATGAAAATATCCAGTCATATTTCAGACACTGCGAAAAGCTCTTATATTCCCCAGCTTTTGTTAAGCTTCCCTGTTTCACCTAGATTATAGAACAAAACACACTGGTCCTGTTAATGTGCATTTTCTTTATATTAAGAGCCAAATAGCTGGAACACCTCCGTCTCTGAGAATTTAAGGGCAAATAATGCAGTCGCACTTGACCAAGCACAGCATATAGCATGAATATTAAAGGATGTACAGCTAAATGATGAAAACAGGGGTCAGATGTGACAAGCGTGTTAATAGTGCTGAGGAGGAATGAGTGCAAACACAATTATCATTCCCACTGGATTAAATATGGCCGATTGTCATGTGTGCAATAAGGAGGCTTTCTGTTGGGTGATGGAGATGGAGAAAGAGAGGTTGGATAGTTGCGTGTGTGTTTTATTCATTAGCATACCAAGCCTTGGACAACTGGAGTAAGTTTTCCTGTTAATCCGTAAATGATTGAATGAACTGATGGAGCAAAGGTTTGCAGCGAAAATGGATTTGCTCTTTTTTATCGGCGAGTGATGCAAATTTGAATACTTTTTGAGAAATGTTGTATATATTTAGAGCTTTAAAGCCCCAGCAGAAAGCTTGATACTTCTGCGTTCGTTTTAAACCCTGGCTCCCGCATCAATTGTCTCCATCTAGTAAAAGTTATGCCGATATTGACTCTTGTTTTATCCCGGGTGGAACTTCTTTTTCTTTCCTTCTTTTGCTTTCTCTCTCCCACTGGGCAAACATCATGGATGGTCCGCCATTTCATTCGAAAACACCACAGTGAATGATCCCCTATCATCCTTGCTGATTTATGCTCCATTTTCAGCGACAACAATTCTTTACTTGGACGTAGAGATGAGCAAACATGCGCCCTTTGGTGTGTGCACAGAGGCTAGTGCATCCTAAAGATAAAACCGCCAGACAGAATATGAGCAGAGTGGTATATGCTGTTCAGTGTATATTGGAGAAACCAAACAACCTCTCCACAGGCTCATGGCCCAACACAGAAGAGCAGCCTCCTCTGGACAAGACTCGGCAGTACATCTACACCTTGTGGACAAAGGACATTCTTTTGAGGGCCAGAATGTTCACATTTTGGATAAAGAAAATATGTGGTTTGAGAGGGGCGTGATGGAAGCCATCTATGTTAAGAGAGAAAAAACAACTTTAAACAGAGGTGGTGGACTCAGATTTTAGCTTCCAAAAACTTACAATTCAGTCATAGAGAGGATCCCTTCCAGATATCACCACAACCCCCACCCCATCACAGAGGAACAAAGTACCTCCTCGCCTTTAACGACCGACCCTTCACAATCATAGACTGGTTCCAGGTATTACAGGAGACAATCCCCCCTTTAACGACAATCCCTCCTTAAACGACCGACCTTCAGAATCATAGACAGGTTTCAGATATTACAGGCTAACAATGGAACCAAACGACCCACTTATCGGTTTTCATTTGCATGTTTCCAAGCAATACAAGGCCTTGTCTATATAAAGCCTCAAACTCACTGTGAATTTGAATTGAGAAACTTTCTGGACGGGAAGCGAAATGTCTTCAAACCTTGGAAACCAAGTCCAGTGGATTGTTTTTTAAACTTTTACGGAATAATTATGAACTCCTAATTCAAAGCTACCAAAACACTTTCATTTAAAATGGGATTTTATTAAACTTTGGAAGAACACCTATTTATAAAAGCCAAATAAGTTATACATAGCCCCTTCAATGTTACACAGAAATCATGGTTTGGTATTTACCTTGTCTTTAAAGTCCAAGCTGGTTCCTTGCCACAGTTTTAAAAGAAAATCATTGTGTCATGGTTTGGTCCTTACCCTGGTCTTTTGGTTACAGCTTTAAAATTAATTTCATTCCTTTTCTCTATCATCCTTTAGTTCCGCCCTCGATCTCATCCTCTCATCCTTTCATGGACTTTGAATCCCCTACTCATGTTAAAAGTCACCATTTCACAGATTTTCCTTTAACATTTTGGACAATTTGATCCTTACTTTGCTCCTTTAACTGAATTCAGGTTCATTTTTATTATGTTCACAAGAATTTGTGTAGCAAGTGGCAATCTGTACTTACAAATGATGATACAAGGGGCAATTTGACCCCAAGATATTGCATGTCTGCTTCTATAAAGAATGCTTGGATGCTATGGTTAAGCCTCGGTCTGAATTGTGGTGAGGGTGTTGCTTCGCTTGTTTTGTTTTCTTTGCATTTGGGGATTAACATTTTAAAGCAAATAGCTTTAACATAGAGACTGCTGGCAACTGCTAATGCAGTGTTGGTTTAAACATCTTGGATTCTTTATCACAGCTGTCCTTGAGACCTAACTTTGATTTAAGTAGAGAAAAAAACATGTCAGACTTGAGAAAGATGACAACAGTCTATAGTGATATATACTTTGTTTTGTTTTTTTAAGTTTCTCCCATATCTGGTGAGTGAAAAAAAAAGATTCAACTTTATTTTTTGTGCATGTTGCTAACACTCATATAGATGATTACAAATCTTATTGCTGCATGTTTTTTTTTGTTTTTTTTAACCATCTGCCCTTATGCATCTGCTTTCTAGCTGCACTGCTGCCAGAATTAACTGCTTAAGCCTCTGGAAATCCCTTCCTGCCTAAAGATCCTGGTATTTTCTCTTTTTGGTTTTCAGGTACCCACCTTCATCTAGGCAAACATCCCATGAAGACGGAAAGGAGTGGCTGAGGTCGCATTCAACAGGAGGCCTTCAGGACAACGGGAGCCAGTCAGCGCTTTCTCCTCCAGGAGCTGCTTGCGTCAACACTGGAAAATACCACTACTCCAACCTCCGTTAGTCTTCAAAATTACCTAATTACAATCTTAAACTGAGAATATATTTTTTTGGTTAACCTAGCACATAGATTCTCATTTAGGGTCATGACCCCTCGATCAACCAGTGTGGAGCCTTGAATCCACAACAGAAATTAGACTAAACAATAAAAACTTAAACTGATGCTGTTTGTAATATTATTACATCCATGGTTAGTTTATTTTTTTAGTAAAGTTTGTATTCAGTTTGGGTCATGAGTTGATACTGCTACCATTTTGTGGGTAAGAACTTGAAAAGTTTGGGAACATTTCACCTAGAAGACTAACTTTGTTTTCCACTGTAAAACTATTTAAAGCGCTTTCTTTTATGTTTCTACAAATATAAGGAAGGTCCTATGGACTTCAAACTATATTTTTGATTCCATATTACACCCAAAATAATCCAGTGTAGACTTTATCATTATTTCCACTCATATTTAAAGCATGATAGTTGAAAACAGTCTGGATTCACTTAGAAACAACAAAAAGAATCTTATTTTGATGGAAAGCAGTTTTAACCATTATTAGCAGCAGTGTGTCATTATTTCCTTTTTTTAGACCAAAAAAGTGTTTCGAGCCAGCGTTAATGTAGCGAACTCACCCAGGACCCGTCTTTATATGTACTGGGTGGTTCATCATAAAATATTCGCTATTTTATATGTACAGAACCCTTAAAAATGAATATTAAAGCAATAAAAAAGGTTTTTTTTTTTTTTTTTGCATCTAATTCCTTTGCAGTGAGCCCAACCAACATCAACCAGTATAACCTGCCACCAGGCAACAGCAACAGCAGTAGCATGAGCCGCTCAAACAGCATCCCTGCTCAGGACTCCTTTGACCTGTACGGTGAGGGTCACCCACTAGGGGGCAGCGCCATCTCCCTGGAGGATCGACCCCGGGCCATCAGCCGCTCCGGCTCCTTCCGAGACAGCACTGATGAAGGTAATTAGAAATACTTACTGCAGCTGATTAAAAGTTATCTGACTAAATGAAGTGAAGAAGGTCTTATCAGTCCTTAAAATATGTCTGAAATTAAATCAGGATGATTTTTCTTTGTAAGTTTAGCTTCATTGCTTGAATGATGAGAATTATCTACCCTGTGTGTCTTGCAGTTCACGGCTCATCCTTGTCTCTGGTCTCCAGCACATCATCACTTTATTCTGCGGTGAGTCGACGCATTGGATTGGTTTGGTATCGATCTTTTATAAATCACATAAAACATTTATAAAATACAATTCGATGGCTGTAATGTTTGCTTATTGTAAAGCAAAACGATATTCAGCTGATATCATATCTCTATGCCCTTATAGGTCATTTTTTTTATTTCTTAATTTTAAATTGGAAAATTCTTGAGCCCCAGCTGCCAAAGTAGCCTCAGTACATAAGACTGGAATACTGCTATGGTTTTTAAAAGCACTGATCTCGCCTCAGTCGCCCCAATCAGACTGCAGATTAGTCATGAGCAGAACTGATTACCATATTCTTCTGCCTCATTACTGCAGCTTTAAAGTAGCAAGGTCTTAGTTTGCTAAGGTTTTTTTGAAATGGTCAAACGAATTGATTCGTTTCATAATAAACAGAATGCATTTCCCATTTAGTTTTCTGAGAGATTTTCTCTCCTTCACGGTCTGGGATGGTATTTTCTTCCCTAGATATCTTGATTCCAATTAGTTTTTAAAGTTATCTTCCATTCTTACCATTTAATAGCTTCTTCTGATGCTTATTCTAATTTGTCACATGGAATGTGAAACACATTTCTGGGAGGCGGTAAATAAATGCGTCTCTGCGACTGTCTTGCAGACTGAGGAGAAAGCTCACTCTGAGGTAAGACTGAGGGACGGCATAAGCATTTCTCTGTCTGCATGCTTCCTTTATGCCACCTAGTCCTTGAAATCACTTGTGTTGCTTTGCATTTGTCATCAGAGCTCCACCTTAGAAAACTCTATTACACCCCTGTATAAGTTCTGATAATGAAAAACCTTGCAGATGTGATGTTGTTGGTTTGAATTGCTGATAATAACCTCACCAATGAACAGAGAAGTTGGTAAATCCTGACGGGTTTCCAACTTGTGAACGGATTTCCAACAGAAGGCAGCAGTGTAAAGATTTTACCCAACTACAGATTTTCTCTGGTTTTATTTTTTCTTTAAATGTTTCAGCGTAATATATTGAGTATAAAAGGGAGAAAAAGATGAAATTTCTTTTAAAATGAATTCATTCATTGAAGGGAAAAAGGTTGAAAAAAAAACTCCAAGCCAACCTAAATCTGTAGGAGGGCAGATACCTTTTAACTGCACTGGAATGAGCTTATTTTAGCTGCATGCTAGTTTCATATAAAGCCCAAACCCAGCATGTTGATCCCTCTTTCAGGTCTGCAGTGGCTGTTTGCTCGTGTTTGAATGTCTTGCATGTTCTACCGTCCCGATCTTGTAGGCAAATATTGCCGAATGCAAAAGACCTTGGGCTGAACCGCCCCACAAAAGCTCATTTGAGCTCCAGCTTTTTTAAGCTTGACAACACAACAGTTTAACTCTATGTTGCATTGCTTTTTATGGTCTTTAAGTGAGTTCTTTAAAAGTATATAACGTTTTCTTCTTTATTATTACAAAAATAACACAACTTGCATCCACCACACTCTGATTTTCAGTCTTTCTATTTTCTATTTTTATTTATTTGTTTTAAGTTTGGGTCCAAGAGTAGCAGCAAATGCAGTCTGAGATAAAGGGGGTTTAGATAGTAGGAAATCAGTAGAAACGACAAAGTTGTTATTTCCACTAAAACTACCAAAACAATTCTGATTAATTTAAAAATGCATTTTGAATTTAGAAAGAAAAAAGATCCAGATGAGTAAAAGTCAGAAAAGCTACCTAAAAAGCAACAACACCATGAAAAGTATTCAAACCTCCTGAGTTACGCATGTTTTTGCTTCTACTTAAAATCCAAATTAAACATAAAGGATGCTTTTAATGTGAAAAAAATAAAAATATATAAATATAACTCAAGGGGCTTATATCTTCCTTTTTCATGAAATAACATGACAAAAAAAGTCAGATCTTTGCTTTGCATTAAAGCAAATTGAGTTACACTTGTATCTTTTGACTGATCATCCTTTACATGCTTTACAGTGGAAACCAGATACGTACATAATTGTATTTAGTCTAAAGATACATTTTCCTTTTTTTTCTCACTGCCTGATCAGACTGACCTTTATTTGTTCAGATCTGCTAGGATTACCAAAGCTGGTTCTGTCTCATAAATGGCAGAATAATGAGGTAGAATTAGCTAATATTTCCTTTTAGTTTCTAGACAACTTTAAGCAGTTCCATAAATCCACGGGTTTAATCATTACTCCAAAGAAAATAAAAAGTCAGATTACAGTTTGTAAATGCATTCACTTACACAGACCTTCATCTTCCTGATAAATCTGAACTTAAAGCATTTTGGTATGATTGCCATCATTACATAAAAGTTGATGCTACCGAGCTTCAGGAGACCAACTCTGAGGCACGGCGGTGGCTGCATCATTTGGTGGGAATATTTACACCAGATTAGACTGGTGCACTTCACAACATAGAGGAAATCATAAAGAATTAAAAAAGATTGTGGAATTATTGAAGCAAGATCTAAACATGCGCCATGAAGAGATTATTTTTAAATTGTTTTAATCGCTGTTGAGGTTTAGTTTCATATACTTTGGTAAACTATATTTATCTATATTTTAGAAAGCAGCAAACTGAAATAGCTGAACTTTTTTTTTTATGTAGCAACACTTTAAATACTTAACTTATTATTAGGATCACAAATGAGTTTTCAACTGTTATCATAAAGCCAAATTGCTAAGAAAGCATAAACCTGTTTTATTTAAAGGGGCATAGTCGTGTTTTATTCGATTTTTTAAAATTGATTTTTAAATGCCAGTGGCTCATTTGGGTTACATACAACGTTTTTCTAAGAGATTCCTGCCATATTATTAGTAATTTTTATGTTTTATGCTTTTTTTGTGGAGGATTTTAGTTGTGGTGGCTAAGTTAAAGGTATAGTGGAGGATATTATTTGTTTACATAAGGCCGTCCTACGTGCTTGCCCCCATTTTCACTTACCGGTGGTGACTCTGACATAGAGGAAGAATTGCTAATCGTCTTTTGGAAAGTAAGCTTGTATGAGCGATGCAAGCACCAAGTTTTAAACAGAGCGTGCACGAGGAAAAATGGGCTCGTGCACGCTCTCACACCTTTAATAGGCATTCCCTCTCAGTACCGGGTACAGAGTTATGCATGTGCATTTCAAATATTCACAAAAATCCTCCACTATACCTTTAATTGAAGTTGATTAGTGATAGCAATGCTGTTCTTAGTCTCTACAGTCTAAGTACAAACAATATTATAGATTGATTAAATGATTGATTCTAAATCCTGCATCTCTGTTTTTGTTTTGTATGTTTGGAAGAGGAATCTTCTTTCTCCTTGGTGGGGGAGGATTCACTAGAACTTAGATTTGCTGTAGATTGATTTATTTAGTTCATATTGCTTGGTCTATATGACCTTATTTTAACACGATCTATTTTTGTGTAGGTATATAACCTGACTATGCCCCTCTAAAAAAGTTCAGTTCTAATTATAGCAAATTATAGTAAAAAGCTAGTTAAAGAAAACCACAGTTATTTGAAGCTAATTTGATCAGATAATAAAAAAATGTTTATGAAAATGTTTTCTTATTATTCTGACTTTTTTCCAGAGGGAATCCTTTAAGTCATCCTAAGTGAGCTAAAACATAAAAGGTTTGGTTGTTTTGTGTCACACAGTGAGAATAAAAAAAGGTATTTACCTTTTCATGCAGTGTATGTAAATATCTGGTTAGAACTGTACGTGATACTTTCTGGAAACATTCTCAGGTATTTGCAGGTGCTATTGAAATCTGAAATCCATGCCTCTTTTGCTTCGCTGCTCGTTCTGCTTACGCCTACCTGGGTGTGATTTGTTTAGTGGCGTCTCTTCGCCCAATCCATTTCTGTTTGATGTAAGCAAGCAACATAGTGTTAATTTTGACTCTTTTCTTTTCAATCAAGGGCCAAACAGTCCAAAATTCCACGGTAATCCCCCCTCACTTTACGTTTCTACATTGTTTTTGACACACTTTATTGTGTAGCTGCTGTTTTTTCTTCCCCCATTGATGTTATCAACATGAGCATTGCAAGTTTGATCTGTTTACACGGGATGATATTCACCTCTGCCATCTTTTCCCAAACCAGCAAATCAGGAAGCTGCGGCGGGAGCTGGACGCCTCTCAGGAGAAGGTGGCGACCCTCACGTCTCAGCTGACTGCCAACGTGAGTTTTTTTTTAAAGGATGCCGTTAAACAGGCGGCTCATTTCCATAAGAACCTCCTGCTGGAGCACAGCTAGTGTCAAATGTGGATGCATTAGAAATCTGGCCTGTGTCTGTTTTTGTTCCTAAAATGGGATATGTATTTGTTTTAAACCTTCTGTGCAGATTAACTCAGAACACACATTTTTTTTTTCATTAAAAAGACTCATAGAAATACCTGAGGGTGGAAATGGAAATAAAACATTTATTTTGTTTTGAAATCGTGGCAACAAGATCCCTGATCCACCAAACAAACTAAGCTGCAGCCAAAATACAGAGGTGGCATATTATTTAAGTATAATATTTGTGGAAATATTATACTTAAATGGAGTAATTATTTGGTAGACAACTTTTTACTTCTATGCCTTACATCGTTTTGGAACTATCTCTACTTTCTACTACTGAAATAAAAAAAATAGAATCAGCTATTTTTGTTTCATTTAAGCTTAATTTCGTAATGGCCTCTTGGTGTATATATATATATATATATATATATATATATATATATATATATATATATATATATATATATATATATATATATATATATATATATATATATATATATATATATATATATATATATATATATATATATATATATATATATATAGTTTTTCAATATGGTAGACATTAAGAAAATTAAGGACGTTATGATCCAGAATTGTATTACTTTTATACTTTTATCAGTTTTAAAACTGGTAGTTTTAGACTTTTACTTGAGTAAAAAGCTTAAGTTGATATTCTAACTTCTATCAAAGTGTTTTTAAATCAGGATTTTACTTCTACTTGATAATAAATATTAATACTTTTGACACCTCTGAATATTTATGATTCTCCTGTAGCATCAGCTGTGTGTTTAGGCGCTGAAACAGATTTTTCAGTCTGAAGCAATTCTGGAAACATAACAGTGAAGGACACTAAACGCTTTTCTCTACACTGATAATATCTTTGCCATTTGATTTTATGCATTTTTAACCATTGCTGTTGGGTTTTTTTTTTTTTAGAAGAAAGTGCTTCATTATAAAAGGAAAGATGCCTAACGATGAAATTAACATGAAAGTAATGAAGGCTTCGATTAGCTGATGTATAAGTTAAGAAGTTTTCTAGGGGAGATTGGTTAAACAGTAAGAATGGCTGCAAAGTGTGGGTTAAAAATTATAAATATGATCAGGAGAGTGGCAGCCTAGTGATTAGGGCATAGGGCTTGAAATCCTGAGGTTGTGAGTTTGAAACCCACTCCCACAGACTGCCACTCTGGCTCTCTGAGCAAGACCCTTAACCTTAACGGCAGCCCACTGCTCCCCTAAAGGATGGTGGCATAAATATTTAATCTAATTCAAACTGGTTGGTTTCTGGGCAAATACGAGGCTTTTATGTTTACCATGAAAATGTTCAATAATGTTCTATAAGCTTAATGTTAGTCTGTTTTGTTTTGACCAACGCTGTTTAAATATGTGCCTTTGATTGATGTGCAGCTGTGGCACTTCAAAAGCTCACACAAGACCTGCTGCTGCCCTCGATGAAAAGCCAAACGTCTTTTGGTGAAACGTTTCCTCTTTTAACGATAGGTTCAAGAGAGGCAGAGATTTTTTTTTTCATCGTGTTTGAGCTTAAAACTGCCAGTTAGATGTAGGAACCCTGACCTTAAACCTTTTCACTAATGTGTGGACTGCTCCCTACAGCTGGATCTCTCAGAAACCTTTTAGTTTTGTTTAGGTTCTTTAATTCTTATATGAGGTGTGGCTTAATATTCTAATAATATTTTCCCAGAATTCAGCCTATTTATTCGCCATCATTTGAACAGACATGTGCAAAGGGTGTTATTTGCATAGACACCTTATAAATGTTTCCTCTCTTATGCAAATATTTCACACAAACAAATGTGGTATTTTCAGAGCTGTCTGGGTCTCCAACAGAGCATCTAGTGTCTCATGTAAAGTATTTTCATCTTCAAACTGGTGTCTGCTGTACAATATGAAATTTAAATGTCATCTCAGTTTGAGTGTGATTTGTTCTTAAAGCCTTTTTGACATTATCAGATAGATTTAAAGATCATCTTCTGGCATTAAAACGTTGAAGGATTTTCCCAGTCTTGGTGAGGTTGGATCTTCCTTTAACTGCAGTTGAACAAAAATAACCTGGATCTACTTTTGTAAGGAAAGGGAGATGTTCACCTCTATATTTCCGAAGGTTTTTTTTTTAAACCTCTCCAAATGAGGTTGGTCCTTGAGGTAGGCCAAAAGGAAGTTAGCTCCGGGAATTGTTGTACCATGACAAGTTGCCACCAGTTCAGTAGGTTCAGCTGACACATTTCCAGGCTCTTAACTATTTCTGTTATCTGTTCGTAGCATCGTATCAAAGTTGAAACAATAAGGGGGAAAAAAGGGACTTAGGAGTTCGAGGCCATGGAAGATCACAGAATAGAGCGTAAAGAGAAAGAAATGGTACAAAAGTGAGAGCTGGTATTTAAAGGCCTTCATACATTTTTTTCGGGCTACAGATTATTCTGCAATTCTGTGGGTAGAGAGCTTCATGGTAAAGATTTCCCATAGCCAAGTAGCTGCATCCAAAACTTTGATCACCAGATCCAACGCAAAACCTAGAATGGTGATTGGTATGCCATTGCTAGACCTTAGGGCACTCAAGAATTGGCCATTTCCTCTGTTTTTGTTAGTTGGCAGTACTTGCCTAACAGCAATGTGCCATGTGTTTTGTTTCTTGGAGGAAGGATTATAATGTGGGGATACTTACTAGTCAAGCTTCGACATCTGAAGACAATTAGACGATCAAATGCTCTTTATTTTGTAGGGACAGTTGAGGGATGGCCTCATCATGAATATTGTAGATTTTGGTGTGAACTGACCTGACTGGACAGCACAGAACCCTGACCTCAACATTAAAGAGGACCTTTGGGAGTGTGATCTCTCCCTATGTTGTCTTCTGGCCCCGCAAAGGCTGTTCTAAACCTTAGTAACAGCAAATGCAGAGAAGTTGGGAAAACCATTGTGCTGGCAGAAAATGACACAGAAGTAATGTTTAAGCCTTGTCTTACGATAAAGTAGACTGTAATTAGTCCTTTAGATATTTCTCGGCACTTAACTGTTTATTGCTTTGTTAAGAGTAGGTTTTGATTTCTTTATTTTAAAAGTTGATTCTTAATTAGTGACATAATCACACCCTTAAATGGTGCATCTAAGGCACCTCTTTATCTCAATACTTCACTAGAACACGTTAGAGCAGGGGTACTCGTCAGTCCTCTAGTGCCACTGTGCTGCAGCTCTTGCTTGCATTCCTGCTCCAACACACCTGAAACCAAAGGTCAAATTACAGTCTTGGCATGTTGTTAAGTTTAGCAGTGGCTTGGCCATTAACAATTATTTTATTTCAGGTGTGTCAAAGAAGGGATGCATGCAAAACTGCAGGACAGTGGGACTTGAGGCCTGACATTGCCTACCTGTGCCCTAGAGTTTAGTATATCTTCCTCTTGTCTTCATCAAAGGCATTGACTTTAACTTCAAGAAGTGCAGAGATCAGTTCAGGTTTAGGCTGGAGGAGTAGGCAGGGGCGTTGCTAGGCACAAAGCTTTACTGGGGCACTGGCCCCCTAGTGCATATGCCCCTCCTTCCATACATAAATACAGACAAGCACACTGCCCAACCCTGATACATTCCTACCAAAATTACCAGTTGAGATATTAATGAGTATAAGAGCATATTTGTTTTAACAAACATGAACATTTTCAACATTGCAGCTATAAAAAATAAGACATCAACAACTTTGACAAATAAAAAGTTTCCTTCTACACATTCTAAAGTAATCATTAATTCCTAGGTTACAGAGTTTTAGTTCGGGGGAAAGTTTAACTCATCCTGAACTAAGTTTACTTTTATTTTTTGAGCATTAAAGTGTACCTCCTATTTATCATTTTTGCAAAGTGGTCAATCACTTCACTGTGACTCAGCTTAGAAAGTTCTTCCTTTTCAACTGATAAAATAGCAAGATGATGGAGCCTGTCTTGTCCCATTGTGCACCTCGGCCAAGTGTGGAGCCTTCTCAACACACTGAATGACCTTTCACAACTCCAGCTGTAGACTGGGATGGTGAGGAAGATCTGGATGACCTACGTTAGTGTGGGGAATACCATGGGCGTAGGTTTGCATAGGGACCATAGGGACATGTCCCTACCAAAGTTTTGAACCGGCCTAATTGTCCCTACCAATAATTGGATGTGAGGAACATGTTTATAATTTACAGCAGTAGTTATTGCAGCAGTGGCTTCTGTTCCTCTCGCAGCTCCTCTGCCTGGTCTCTCCTGTCCCTTTCATGTAGCAGCGCATGGAACTGTGCTGCGCTGTTTAACGCCCCTCTCATTGGTTGTTCTGCCTTAAGTTCCGCCTTCTCTCTCTCTGATTGGCTGTTTTCTAGTCCGCGTGTGCTTGGAGCACAACATTGAAAATGTATTCACACTAGAATGCCGCGGTTACTACAATTAATATTAGGCTACAAAACTAGTCCCAAAAAAAAAAAAAAAAAAAAAATGAATATCATGTACACTAAAAAACAAAAATCTTTTTTTTCTTTTATAAAACGAAATATTCTGAGTCAGCCAGGAGTTCTGAAGACTGCTGGAAAAATGGGCAAATTAAGGCTGTAAGCCATGGCAGGATAATTCTCCCATACACAGCCAACTAAAAAAGAAAATGTGAGGGTTTCCATTTTACCGATATTAAGTTGATATTACTGTTTTCATTTTTTTGTTTTTATTTTTACAATTTTGATATAATAACTGATCTAAGTGGGTTGCTCTGTGGGGAAAGGCACATTTTACATTTATATTACTGTATGTTTTAAAGTCTCTATACTCCAGTTAATGATGAATCACTTACTAAATTAGTTGACGATTATTGAAATAATCAATTAATATGATTCATTTTTTTCAGCCCCAGATAAAATACATGAAATGGGCTACACAGAGTAACTACAGTCCAGATGTTCAACTTTTATAGTGAAGTTAATATTTTAATGAATGTATTATTTTGCTTGATACAGAGAGAGAAAAGTAGGTACAAATATTAGAGTGGGGTTTAACTCTGCACAATTCTATATCTTCAAAAGAAAATACTGTATTTACCTTCTCTCTTAGGCGTTCAAATGAAACCGTTTTCAAAGTGGAAAACAGTCCTAATTCCACATTCATCAGAGCCGGTGATACTTCAAACATTGATAAACAGCATCTAATGAGTCTAGAGCTTATAACATTTTTATTAATGGAGCAAAATGTTGCTTTTCTCTTTTAACAATGAATTCCTCTTATAAGTACAGATACTCACATCAAGCATAAAAAAGGGCATGCATATTGCATAGCACCGATTACACCAGACCAATAGTGTCCCCACCAAAGTTCAAATCAAACCTACGCCCTTGGGGAATACAGTATGATGTTATCAAGCAAGTTGAAAACACACTGCATATCCTTGATAACAAGGCTTTCTTTTTTAACCAGGAAAAGCTCAAACCATTTTGAATTAAATGAACGTTTTTTTACTCCAAATTTGTGCTGGGGTTAGTGGGACAACTTCACTTGTTTAGGACCATCATGCTTTCCCCCTAAGTCACTAATGTCCCCTTCTTGTTTGTGGAAGCTGGTTGTTGCATCCTCATCTCCTTCATGGTCCTGTGTCTCTCCTGTCCTTCACCTGTCTCTCCTGTCTCTCTCCTGTCTCTTGCCTGTCAGTCTCGCCTCCTCCCCCCTTTCCTACTCCAGCACCTGCATTCTCATTCTCTACAGCAAACATAAAAAAACGAAAATTTATAATTATGTAAATATCTATCATATTACTTATAACGTTCCTAATGTAACTTGTTACATTAAATCACTAATTCATTACGGGACCTTACCTCCCTCTCTCTCATCTTGTTTTACTGCTTCCCTGTCTCTGCTTCGTGTGAGGAATTTCCTGATATCCATCTACAAACCAATGCAGTAATTTTCAGTTAGTAGCCTATAAATCATGTGGTTTCACTGGGAAAATAATACAATTGACAGGTAAGAAACATTACCAGAACTAAAAATGCGTCGCGGCCGCACAGTGTCCCATCCAAAACAGCTGAGAGCAGCGTGTTAATTTACCTGCAGTTCATGCAGTGACATGCGCTGACGTGGGGGAAGCTAATTCATCCTCAATTTGGAGTTACCAACACACTTGCTGCGCATTTGAGTAGAAATATACGTCTCCTCCCGTTGGAATTATCTAAATTGATGCATTAAAAAAAATTTAATACTGTTGCAAATATTCATGAGATTTATACTGGGGCACAGCTCATTTATACTGGGGCACGTGCCCCAGTAAATGGGGTCTGGCGACGCCGATGGGAGTAGGGTAAGCTGCGCGTTTCTGCAAGGCTGATTAGTACCTCCTTCAGTGGAGACAGGTGGTCTGTAAGGGTGAGGAGTCAGAGCTCACAGGTGGATTTGGAAGAGGAAGCAATTGGTAATAGGAGGAATGAGAGGAGTTGGCATTTCGAAAGGTCGAGACCCTCACGGATTCAGTGCTGGAAGCTGAGTCGACTTGGCATTGTTGGGTTTTCCTCTTCGCTTGTTTATTTTTAGACTTACAGTACTTTAGAGCCATAGATGGGGGTGTTCTTGTTTTCCTTTGACAGTTCATGCAGACAGAAGCGATACTGATCAAATGTGTGCAAGCGAGTGAATTTCTGTGATAGTCTGACATCCTCTGATCTGTCCAGGCATGCAGCCCATCTTTCTGTGACAAACACCGGGCTTGACAGGTGTCTCAGGGTGTCTGGCTAAGGATGACAGGAAGAGCAGGCATTGCATACGTACAACCTCTCACAGACACACAAATCATGGCAGGATAAATGTTCCTGTCATACACATACAGCTGTACCAGGTTGCATCCTTAAACACAGCTCATCAAATTATGAGGCATGACGAATCCCTGAGCGACGCGGTCCTGACAGACAGATTCAGCAGGACAGATGGTCCGATTTTCCCTAACCTGCTGCCAACCTTAACATGTTGCTGCTGCATCCTCTGGTGACTGATTGAGTCATGGAGAAAAGCCCTTCTTTGATTGGTTTGTAGAGTACAGCCTTCATACTATCATAGAGATCTATTTTTCCAAAATCTTGAGCTCATGGGCAGATTTTTATTATTTCTTTTTTTTTGACACATCGTGTTTCAGAGTATTCGCACAATTGTCACATTAGATTTACAAATATTAATAAAATAGTCAATTATTTGTCCTTTTTAAGGTGAGGTTTGATTACAATTACACTTTGACTATACCATGGCCATTTCTCGATTCACAAGAACGCGAGTATGGACTCTCATCAAGTATGTTCTTGAGAAGAACACTGCAGGGTATGGACTTGGGGAGAACGGGAGCATAAGGCAAAAATATGGGTCAACTGGAACAGAAGGGTACTAGTGACGTCACCACAGGCTCATGTTAACCTTGTGTTATTTTCATTTAGTGGGGGAATAATAATTAACAGTCAGATAAACACAAATCAAATAAAAATTTGACATATAGTGACGCTTTAAAGTATACTATTCTCGTCTCAAATGATCTTAAAATGTACTTGTATTAAACAACAGCAACAGAGAAGAGACCTTTTAACTTAATACTTTGAGCTCTGTGAGCGCTCCATTGAAAGCTGCCGCAGTGCATGCTGGGACAGCCTTCAGTCTTTAGAACGGACAAGTCTGCTCTGATGCATACTCGGTAAAGAGGAAGGGGTGAGAACAACATCCGGGGACTTTGTCCATTCTCGGTCTTGTGTTGTTGTGAATTGGAACAGTGCTAGGACTGAGGCTGATGATGTTTCACAAGCACATTAGAACGAACAAGTACACATATTGAGAAATGGCCCATTGTAACAGTTTTAGGCTTTGATTTAAAGAGTTCAATTGTAGCTATGGCTTCATCCAAATGATTCTTGTAATGTTTTAATGAGCTAATTTCTAAAAGCAAAATAGTTTCATTTGATTTTAGTAAAATGTATTATTTTCTTTCCAATAGGCACAAACCTGTATTTGATTAAACTCTTGACAAAATATGTTTATGAAGGAGATGATGTGATATGATTAGGCAGAGATGTTACCCTTTTCATCATTAGTTTCCTTTTTTAAATTTAATTTATTTTGAAACAAAGTCAAAGCATTTTGATGCAGATGGCGTGTCTTTGTGTTTGCAGGCTCACCTTGTGGCAGCCTTTGAGAAGAGCCTCAGCAACATGACCTGCCGCCTACAGAGCCTCACCATGACTGCCGAGCAAAAGGTACGAGAAGCACAACAAACTGCCTTAGAGGAAGCAGAAACTGGTAGGAAATACAGGCTACAAGAGCTAAACAATAATTTCACTATATCAGCATCAATGCCTTTAGCTCACAGGGCTAACAGGACCTCCTTTTAATCCTCTGGATGTTAAAGCAGACTGATGGGAGGCCTTTGACAAATAACGCTGTTCTAACTTTTAATTAAACAGCATCGCTATCTGCAGCTCTCAGTCGGCTGTGGTGGAAGACAAAGGAGGAGGTTCCTTCTCCCATTCAATGTTAACTTATTTTATCCCTCAGAGCGAGGCGCTGGTCCAAGATCTAATGGGAAAACTTTTCCAGCTCCCTTTTCGTTTCATTAAAAGTATGGTCAAAGCCAAACTTAGAAAACTTCATCACAACAGAGTAGCTTATGTTTTATGTGATGATTTACAAAAAAAAAAGTCTGGTTATTGTCTTGCCATTTTTTGTTTTTTTTTCTCTTCAGGTTACAAAGATGCATAGTTAGTGTTTCTTTGATGCTAAAATGAGAACCTCCTGTTCTTGTCCTCTTTTTTCCTGTTCCAGGAGTCCGAGTTAGCAGAGTTGAGAGAAACCATAGAGATGCTGAAGACCCAGAACACAGACGCTCAAACTGCGATCCAGGTGGCGCTGAACGGACCGGACCACCTGCATAAAGGTAATGAAGCCAACAGCTTCCTGAACCATGACTGTTGTAGGTGTTCTTCTGCTGCATGAAGCTTTAAGCATGACTGTGAAAAGTGTTTTCCTTCCTGCTGAATGTTTCTTATTTGAACAGTTTAAGATAATTTATCATGTGATAAGTTTAGACAAAAATAATAGTGTTCATACAAACAGGGTTTTCTGTAAAAGAAAACAATTTCTCCCTTGGTGAGTAATGAGTGGATTTTTTCCTACCACACAAAAGACCATTAGACCTGTAAAGAAAGAAATACAACATGTAGAGCCTGTGTGGCAGAATCAATAACCTAAAAGAACTCAAAAGATAACTAATCACTACCCAAACTTAAAAAACATAAGAGCAAATCAGGAGATCTGCAGTCAGTCTATGGAGTGAATTGTGTTCCATTATTATTACAAGAAAAGAACACTTTTTGTAAATAGAAATTTTACAAAAATATTATCCAGAAATGAAATTCTGAAAAAGTTCTTAATAAAAAAAGGTTTTAAAAATACATTCTCTGCTTTCATTTTTTAACGTTTTCTCAGATGTTATCTTTTCAAATAATTGGGATATTTTTTTTCTTTCAAAGATCATATTCCAATTTTTAAAAACCTTTTTTCATATTTTATTTTATTCTGTTTTAAATTGAGTTTTGTAACTTGCATTATTTTCATACTGCATTTTAAAGATCACCTTGTTTTTCCTTCTACGAGTGGGCTTTCCCCTAAAGAACTAAGCAAATGCTAGCAAATGCTAGCATCAACATTTTTATTGGTCGATGTGTGCATCAAAATCAAGTATTTGTATTAAGAATGTGATCTTTTAACAAAATCAGAAAAGAATAAAATGCGGAAAACTCGATCTGAAAAGGAGAAATAAAAAGATAACCTAAAAATATAAAAATCTGTTTTAAAAAATATGAGAAAATCAAAAAGGGTTAGAAGAAAACATAAATATATATATATTTGAGGAAAAAAGCAAAGTTTTTCCTGATTACAAATTTTTAAACGTGTTATTTCAGAATTATTATTATTATTATTATTTTTTTTTTTTTTTTTAATTTTTTATTTACAATAGATGTTATTTTGCTTACAATAATGATGAAGCAAAATTCACTCCATGTATGTCCATATCTGAATGGTTTTTAAAAATAAAAGCATGGAATAGCCTTTATTTTTTGTGGGACATTATGACGTCACCTTAAACTGACCCTTAATGCTGGAAAACCTGCATGTATGATTTAAACTGTTGAGTAAATAAGCTTCATTAATTATCTTTTCACATTGAAGCAGGATTGTGTGGGATTCTTTTCCCTCAGATTCAAAAACCTTCTGTTATCTTGATTGAATATTAACAATTAGTTTGATCTGAAACATTTAGGTGAAACAAAGAAACTTTAAGTAATCCTCTTTACACTGGAAAAAGATAAGTAATTAGATAAGTAATTTTTTCTTAAAATAAGTGCATTTGTTCTTGGATTGAGGAAGTAAAACAGACATTTTGCCAATAGAACAAGACAATTTACATTTGAAATAAGAAAACACAATTGCATTGCCTTTATTCAAGTGCATATTATCCAGTTATCTTATTTTAAGAGTAAAAATACTCATTCCATTGGCAAACTATCTCATTTACACAAAATAAGGGTAAATAAACTTAATTAAGAGAGACATTTTTTACTCATTTCTAGATTGTTTTTCCAGTGTAAGAGGAGAAATACTTTTCCCAACCATGGTATATTCTGCAGCCTCAGTCAGCAGCAACAGTAACGCTGCCTGATGACCTTTATATGCACCAGTCTGACTGTATATCGCTACAGACTCTTAAAAACGGCAGAAGCTGTCACGTCAGCTCATCGGCTTAGCCTTTTTCCGTACTGAGGAACATTTTGTCTGTCTCCATCAGACCTTCGGATTAGACGGCAGCACTCGTCAGAAAGCATGTCCAGCATCAACAGCGCTGCCAGTCATGCCAGCATGGGCAGCTTGGGCAAGGATGCCGAGGATAAAAAGAAAAAGAAGAAGAGCTGGGTAAGTGGAGAAAAGAAAGACATTACCATGAGAATTACAGTCGGGGTTTAGGACGGCTTCTTCTACTGGAAGTACAGTCACAGAAAGTACTCAGAGTTCCAGGAGCTTGAAGAATCAACTTATTTTCCATATGATGTCATAAATCGTTCCGGTCTTTATGGTCAGATTTAGGATTAAAGCAGTTTATTAATGCCGCCTCAGCACTTCCTGTCTTAGGTCTTGCCTTTGACGTAGCCGTCGCAAAGATTTTCTCTCTTTGGTTGCAGTTTATACGTTATGCAGTTTTTCTAAACTACTGAAAGTTTGCAACCTACCCAGGCTCTCTGGCTGCAGAACAGGCCCATGTCATCACACCTCCACCACCATGCTTGTGTTTTCCACCTTTTGATAATCTTTTTTGGAATGACCTTTTAACCTTTGTGGTTTAATGGACCACAATTCCTTCTTTCTTTTTATTGCTGATGTCTTTCCCTCTTGCAGTTACAGTAGCAGCCATTCAAAATGACCCTTCCCAGTCAAACGACAGCCGAATGGCAGCCAACTTCCCTCTAACTTCCAGCCACTGGAGTGACCCCCTCTTGCATAATTTTTTACTCTTTCACTGAATTACAGGGTCTGACCAGGATATGGCGCTTCTCTTTAGATCTTAATGTCCACAAATCATGACAGAAAGAATAGTTTAGTAAAAAGATTGATGTTTAAAAAGGAATTAAGTGGGAGCAGCCAAGGAGCAGCCAAGGGCCCATCAAGGAAAGTGGGGAAGTTTTGAATTGCTACTACTATAAGTTTTTGCACCCAGATCTCCCTTTTGTATAAAGATCACTTAATAATTAAATACTATTAAGATATGATAAAATATCATTTAGATATCCAGCATTTGGCTGATAACTTTGCTCTCACATTCCATAGGAGAGTCAATGTTGTACAGTATTTTCCAGAAGCATAACAATGGCTGTTGAAATGTCATTCTTATATATCTACGGCTGCAAAAGGATGAATGCAAATCCCCTTAATGGCAGGAGGCATATGTAGTGAATTTTATTGCATTTTTTTAAATTGAAAATTGAAAAAAAAAAGAAGGAAATTCAGAAATTAAACTTGAAATAAGTTTTTAATGTTGTTAATGTCTTGATTTTTTCAAATTTATTTTTGCAAATATCTTCTTCAATGTTTTGAAACCTTATAAGTACAAAGTTTATATTTTAAAAATTTTTGTTTTTCAATTTTTTTTTTCAAGATTAAGTTTAACACATTGCATTCATTCAATTTGCATTTTAAAGATCCTATTCTCTCTACTTCAAGCCCAAAAATAAACACTTAAAGACGTTGCAGACCAATAGAAATGGGTATTTGCTCTTCACTTCAGCGGAAAGCCCGCCCCCAGAAGTGAAGAGAATGTGATCTGTACAACCCAAATTGAAAAGAATGCAATTTTTAAACCTCGCACTGAAAGAGAAATTTGAAAAATGAAATAAAATTTGAAAGACACAACTATTAAAAAAATAAATAATTTTCAAAAGTAAAATCTGTGAGAACAGCTGGTTTTCTCAAAACTTGTTTTTGATTAAGAATTTTTTTCAATATTTAATTTCTGGACTACATTTTTTCTTAATTTTTATTTACAAAACATGTTCTTCCTTTGCAACAATAATGGAACAAAATTCACTCCATACAGGTAACACCAAAATATCCTTTGGGACTAAAACCTGAGCTTTGAATCAAACGTCTCTTTTTCATAATTTTCACCCAGTCCTTGCTGGAATACTGACTGTGGTTTGTCCTCTGCTCTGCTCCTTCATTATCTTAAAACCTCTGATGATTCCAGAGATAATTGACATTGTCTGTTCTCAGTGGCTGTTTTCAGTCTGGCCTCAGTTTTCCACTTCAATAAACTCTTTCAGATTATTCCTTTAAATCTGTGTTGAGAAGAACCTGCTGAAGCTCTGGTGAGGACTTTAAGGGCTTTATATACATTTCTCCTTAGGGTTCCTGTAAGTTATGCAGCACAAAGATTTTCATCGCTGCAGACATCAGGAACCACATTTTCCTTCTGCTTGAAAATGTGTTTTAAAAGTCAGTAGTTTTCATTGGTTTCTGGGTAAGGTCCTTACTAGGAGCAGGAGGTTTTTAGATCAAGTCCATCACCAAGACCAGGAAGAATTTAACAAGTTTAAGGTCATGACTTTCCCCCCCATATTGTCAAGGACTGAAGGATCTGCTTGTATTTCCTGATCAGATATTGTTGCACAACATATGGTCTAGTGAGGTCCATGTCTTTGGGGGTCAGGGATCCTGTAGGATTAGATAAGTGGCCATAAATTTTTGTACATATTTAATTTTTCTGATCTGAATTTGTCCTCTAGATTGATTCCTCCATCTAAACAGAGCCGGTTCCGGTTGGTTTGCTCTTCTGTAGCAGATCTGTTTGCATACCAGTCAAATATAACTTTATTAATCGTAGTTTCTGTCATTTCTCCTCGCTCCTCCATTTGTAATAACTCTACTTTCTCAGCCACACTGTGTAGAACAGAGATCTGAGCTGTTGTCGGTGTGAACATGTGTGTGTGTCTACGTTCCTTAACATTGGGTGTGTTCTGCATCTTCAGGTGGCTGATTCCATCCCAGCTCAGGTCAGTGGTCTCCAGAGTGTCTTGTGTTTCTTCGCCCCGCCTTCTTCCATACTCTTCTGTTTTTTTTTTAAACGTCAGCATGGATTCAATAAACTTCCTCCCTTTGACCATTCATTTTTTTATTTTTTTAATACCTCGTTTGTTTTGATTGCCTGTTCTGCCCTAATTTCTAGCCCCCCCCCCCATTCTCATTTCTACTTACAGTCTTGTTTTCTGCCTCTTTGCCTCAAAAAGAGCCTGGCCATTGCTTGGAAACAGCACGGAGTGACCCCCTGACCCTCCTAAGTAATGATGCTGTCTGAAACCTGGAGAGAAATAACATGCACTCTCTGTTTCATGCATTGCAGTTGCGCAGCTCCTTCAAGCAGGCGTTCAGCAAGAAGAAAACCAAATCCCAGTCGGCCCACGACGAGATGGAGGAGATGACCGACTCAGTACCTTCCTCGCCCAAACTGCAGCATGACAACAGACAGGGTAGCGTTGCCACGCTGCGCTCCTCCCCCTCCACCACCGAGTGAGTTTGACATCATCAACAACACAAAGATACACTCTTGGGTTTTTGTTTTTTCTCTTTGTGAATTTTTTATTTTTTTTTCCTTTTCTTTTTTTTAACATACATCCTTAAATTAACACCTCACTCATTCCCTCAACAATGTTCTCTCTCTCTCTATCTATCTCCTATCACTTGCTCTGAAATGTTCTCTGTCCGCTGTAGCGATTGCAATTGCGACAGCAAGTCCTCCACACTATGGACGGCAAAGAAAAAGCATAACGGTCATGTGGTCTACAAACACAGATCTCGGTAACAGGCTCTGAGGGGCATGCTCCATGGGAGTGTGTGTGCACTGGATTGTATTGGTGTGACTTTCTCTTTTCATGTCAGCGCCTTTAAATCCAAAGTGTCTGGGCACATTTTCACAATTTGTGATTTAAAAGCAACACTTGTTGTGTGTTTTATGTGATAGACAACACAAAGCAGTGCATAGTTATGAAATGGAAGATTAATTAGACAATTTATGGGGAAACATCACCTCCGTCATCAAAGAACAGATCTAATGAATTCAGTTTCACTCAATACAAATATACTTTATTAATACAAAAGGGAAATATGGATATTTCAAGTTGCGAATAAGTTTATTATTAAATTATTTTTTGTAAAAAAAAAAAAAAATCCCATGCTTTCGACATCTCATTGTCCCATCTTCTGTGTTGGAAATGCATTAATCAAAGAAGCAGCCATGATGCCCATTGTAACTCTGGAGGAACTGCAGACATCTTCTGCTCAGGTGGTCTGGTTAGAGGAGGCCATATTGAAACTTTTAGGCCATAATTCAAATATATAACCGAGCAATTCTCTCTGAATTAACAAAAACTCATAAGGTGGAGGTTTTTATTTCTTTAAAGCAATCCACAACAGGTTTAACGTGTTGACCTAAATATGTTGTAATTACTTCAAAAACTAGAAAAGCTCTCAGAGAGTGCAGCGCTCCGCAAAGAAGCTAATTTGGCCCCCTGTTGTGATTTGCGCCTATAGCTAAAACTTGCACAGAATCTGGATCATTAATTAATTTTAATAAATTGTTCTTCTGAGTGAAGAACCTCTGGTACAAAATGTCCATAAAATCAGTTCATAAGTTTTCAGTTCCTACAACAACATTTTTGTGTTCAGTAAAATACCTCTGGACTTTTTCAGCTTTGGAATCAGTTTTTGAAGGATTAGACATGTGATTTTCATTGAAACGTGAGCAGGAAGAGGCTCTACTATCATTCATTTTTAAGAAGGATGTATTCGCCGTTTTACCAACAGGCTGTTTGTTTCCACTCTCCCACCAGCTTTCTGTCGCTCTTACTACGTCACAGTCAGTAGCGCTCATTGGTCAGAACGTTGGCAGGTTGATGAGAACAACGGGTTGTTCTCATCAACAATCTTCCGATGTCTCATTCATTGGGGCCAGACTAAATTACACATTTAATCTCACATTTAGTCTGGTTTATCAGGTAAACAAAAATGTGCTTTATTTTCTTTTGCACTCGTGGGAAATTATCCATTTTATTTTTAAATACTGAAAAATCTTTTCTGTAAAGATTTTAAAAAATAGGTTAGTTTTCCTGCTAAAATACAATAACTTTTTAAATTTCATCTGCTAAAAACTTGATTCCATCTCATATTATTATGTTCTAATATGTGGTTGTCTATCACAGTAAATTCCCCTGAATTTAGAACATTTCAAGGAGTATAAATACTTTTAAAAAGCAATGTAGGTTGAATAAAGGGAAAAAGATATGGCCGGTCAGCATGCAGCTGCTGCTGTGAGGCAGCTGGTGGGTTTACTTCAGTTTAACACGTCGGGCGTAGTTTTCCTCTGTCGTGCAGGAGGTTTGGAGACATGAATGCATGTTTTTGACTTAAGAAGGAAAAAAGACAGCTTTCTTTCAATCCAACCAGTTTTGTAGGGAGAAGATTCACTGGAGTGATTCTCTGTTTCAAATCCTCCACTTCCTCACTGACGATCATTATCACGCATCTCCCTTCTAAAGTGAAGCTTCCCTGTTTCCTTTCAGCATATTCTCTCCAGGCTGTGTGTGCTGTGTGCGTGTTTAGTTCAACCCTAGAGGTGACACAACCCCCCCCCCCCACTCCTCTTCCCTGTGTGTAATCACTGTTCCAGGCTGTGCGAATGCACCGAAGCCGAGGCTGAAATCATCCTGCAGCTGAAGAACGAGCTCAGAGAGAAGGAGCTCAAGCTGACAGACATCCGCCTGGAGGCGCTCAGCTCTGCTCACCACCTGGACCAGATCCGAGAGGCCATGAACCGCATGCAGGTGAGACTGGAACCAGCCAATCTAACCAGGGTTGACAAATATGTCAGTCACAGCTGCTGTTTGTTTCCTTCATTCATGAAAAAAAAGACATTTATTTATCAAATATTAAAAAGTAGACCTATGGGAAAAAAATCTGTTATAGGAACAACATATGTAATAATTGGTAGTGAGTGTTTTGACCTTAATGTGGAGGAATTGTGAAGATTTTTGGAGCAGGAATAGCCACATTAGCACTATCATGCTTGACGTCAGGAAGGTTGTTATCTTGCAGAAATTTTTCATCACCTTTAATGCCAGATGTTAGCTGGTAAAAATGGGCCCAACACATCAAATACACACAGTTAATTAAGGATGTTCCTATTTGGTATATTCCTATTGGAAATACCTTCTACAGTACTCATAATGATGCCAAACAATACAAAAATATTTTAGATGTTTTTATCACATAAAATAAACCAAGTAAACATAATGAAGTCATTTTTTAAAAATATTGTTTTTTTTAGGTATTTTTGTTGACTTTGATTTATCATTTGGCAACACTGTACGGTAGTGGAGATGATTATAAACAAGGGATTTTGGTTAATTTTTGTAAAGACCTTTATTTAACAACCCAGGTTATTTTGTAAACAGTCCAGAGTAACAAGAAGTGTTGACAATGGAGTTTATTTAAAACTTAAAAATAAAAGATATTTTTCAACATTTTGAGTATCTTCATGATGCTCTGTATATCTTACTGCATCTGTGAACTGATGTTCCAGTGTAGACATATGTAGTATGAAAAGGACTCACATAATGCCTTATTATAACAGACCCTAGTGGGTCAGTGCATGCGATCAATACTATACAATGGTAATCTCAATGGTACAGTGTTAACATATGGCAAATATAGCACATTACACCTTAGCAGAGTGAACTTATTTCATTTATTGATGAGTATTTATTTTTTCCCATCCAAAAACACCATAAAATTACTTGTTTTCATGATTTTTGAGATCTCAAAATATGACTACACCCTGTAAATACATCTGCATAAAAGGACATTGACATTCCATCAAATGGTACAAATATAAACCGTGCTATTAGTTCTCTTATGGTTGTCTTTCAGTGCACTAGATCTTAAAAGTGGACGTATTTTGTTATCAAATGGCAGCATTGTACCATACATGGATAAAACATAGAAACTCCTCCATCTCGTCGTGGGCAGACTGGGATTTGGTTTTCTCCGTGCTGAACGCCTGCTTAAAGGAGCTGTCCAACTGCAATGTATGAAACAGAGAGCGTGTGTTACTTTTCCCCATGTTTTAGACAGCATCATTATCGGAGGGGGGGTCAGGAGGTCACTCCTTGCTGTTTCCAAGCAATGGCCAGGCTCTGTTTGAGGCAAAGAAGCACAAAGCAAGACTGTAAATTAAATCTGTACCTGCTAGAAATTAGGGCACAACAGACAATCGAAACAAACAAGGCAAAGTATTTATTTGATTTTTTTCCCCCTCACTATAAAATATTCATTTAAGATTTTCCATCACTCAAATAACCAGTAATGCCTCACTTTGTAGATCCTGATTATCTAGTTTCTAGCACCTCTAGTCTGCTCTTAGATCTGGGGATCATCTGATATTCTTTATCTGAGGTTTAACTTCAGTACAAAAGAGGGTTTTTAGAGAACAAAGACCCTCCGGGTTTATAATCTCTTAGCTGCTAGCTGTTGGAGCTGCTGTCACACAAGGCTTTGGTTTAATGCTGCTTCCCTTTGATATTTAATTTTTATGTATTATTTCTACATCTTCACAGAATGAGATCGAGGCGCTGAAAGCAGAGAACGATCGCCTCAAGTCGAGCGGGAACGCCACACCCACGATGACTCCTGTCAAGATGGCCCGGCCGCCCTCAGAGGCCTCCAGCACCTCCTCATCCTCGTCACGGCAGTCGCTCGGACTGTCGCTCAATAACCTCAACATCACCGACTCCATCATGTCTGGTGAGTTGATTGTCAGACCCATCAGTCCAGGGTGCCAAACAGCATCAAAGCTCAAATTAAAGGGTTGTCAGCTTTAGACTGGAGACTGTTTGAATTTGCTCTCCTCAAATCCTCTCGAACCTTTTATTTTGTCACGTTTCAACTAACAGACTGAATCTTTTGCGCTTGCTAATGAAACAATGATCAAGAGAAAACCAAAACTGGACTACATGCAACACTCTGAACACAACATCATCACAGGAAAGCATGGTGGGGGCAGCATCATGATCTGGGGCACTTTCTTTTAAAAGATGGACGGGGCTAAACAGAAGATATAAGGATGAAGCACACCTTGAATTATGAAGATTAAACACAAATGGACGCCACTTTTTCAACTCACAATAATGTGCTACTTCATGTTTGTCGTTCCATACAAATAACATATATTAATGGCACACAGTTGACTTATATACCTGTCCAAAAACATTCGATCTTGATCAAATTAGGTTATATAAACAAAGCATCCGTCCTGATATTGTTTAAATAGCCCTTCTCATGCCTAAGTAGAATTCCAGCTCAGGGTGCAATGTGCAGACATAAATGTGGCGCCATCTGTTGGCAGTAATGTGGATTCTGTCAGAAAGCCTGATGTTAAAAAGAGAGGCAGCTACCTTACAGATCCTAACTGTCCTGCTATAGCTTTAGCTTTGGCTTCCACTTATGTTCACACTGTAATGTGTAATGTACACGTAATGTGTAATGTGCAATCAAATGCTTTTTTCTATTTCTTACACAGCTTTGCCTGGAGGTGCTGCTACTTCTGTGTTTACCTACGTAATAATTGCAAAAACAATGGGAGGACCTTAATGTAGTAAAAAACTGATCAAAGAAAAGGCATAATATCACAAATTATACGCCAGCAGGAGGCAGTAAGATTATAGAAAAAGCTTTTCGTTCAACTAGATTGAGTTTTAGGCGTATAAATAAATAAAAAGTCATTTAACATGACTTTCCACCTTTAAAGTCTACGGTTGTGAATTTGACATAATGGAAAAACACTGTAAATACATACCAGAAAACTGTAGGGATCAGTAGATCAGGACCCTTTCACATAAATATACCAACACTGTGTAAGAAAAAGTAATTAGGTCTGTCTAACTTGTTCTGTAATTAACAGAAATAGCCACTGTTAACTGTTTCTTAAACAAGCAAACAGCAATGAAATAAAAGGAGCACCCAGGCAGTACGCCCTTTGAATACCAAGTACTGCTTTTATTCCACCAACAGAGGGAAATAAATTAAGTTAGTTGCAGTTGTTGGCGTATAAAGATGGAGGCAAACTGAAAAATGTGTTCAAAAAAAGCATAAAATGTAGTCCTTGTTGCCCAAAAGGTCTACTACCTTCCATACAAGCCTCACGCTGGAAGAAAATAGAATAGGACAATAGAGGGACATTTAGTACGCTAACAGTCAGAACCTGAAGAAGATATTTAGAAATGACTAACTTACAGTACACTTGCAGTACATTTTTTAAATTATTTTATAAACCTGAGAGACAAACATCAGTCAAAGGTATTTTTATATGATCACCAAAACGTTTCAGCAGCTTTAATGGGTTCAGCTCTTTTCAACAGGTTTTCTACAAGAAGGGGATCTTTAACCGTTTTTCTGAGGCACATTTGTAAGGTCAGACATGATGTTGGACATGAAGGCCCCACTTGGCTCATCCTGAAAATATTCTATCAAGTTGGAGTCAGAGATCTCTGCAGATCCTCCATTTCATAGTGTAGTTTCTGATGTGAATGCTTAAACATGCTGGAACAGGAAGGAACATGAACTTGTCCAAAAGGATTTTGTATAATGAAAACCGTGTTTGTGTCTGCAAAATTAGAAGGCTGGTTTAAAGTGCATAACATTAGACTTGATAATGTCACGACTCAGAACAGAGGACCCAGTATTCAGGAAATTAATTGAAAAAGTGGAATTGTAATGGAATGGAATGGAATAAAAAAAAAAAGTTTCTTTAAAACCGGCAGATCAGAGTAGAAGTTGCTAGGGCATCTGAAGCAGGAAACTTTGGAGAGAGGAAACAATGTGACCACGTAAAACTCACGGAGGAAGATTATGAACATGAGTCACTAAACTGGTTTAAAAGTTCAGTCCGTAGCCAGACAATGTGGTAGGATCCAGCCTATGGGCTGCACGCAAGATGCGGCGGGTGCCGCCCAGAGTGTCCCAAAGAAGTCAGAAGCAAAGTCAGGTAAACAGATCAAAACAGGACTAGGGAGGCTCAGAGGTTCAGAAATCAGAAACCAGGTTAGGCAACCAGATCAGAACAGGAACAGACAGGCTGAGGTGACCAGGTGTCCGGAGCCAGGTAAGGCAAAAAGATAAAAACAGGAATAGGCAGGCTCAGAGATCCAGGAGTCTGAGGCCAGGTCAGGCAAACAGACCAGAACAGAAACAGGTAGGCTCAGAGGTCCCGGAATCCAAAGGCAGGTTAGGGCAAAGAGATCAGAACAGGAACAGGCATAACCAGAGGTACAGGAGTCCGAAGCCAGGTCTGGCAAACAGATCAGAACAGAAACAGGCAGGCTCAGAGGTCCAGGAGTACAAAGACAGGTCAGGCAAACGGATCAGGACAGGAACAGGCAGGCTCAGTGGTTAAGACGCAGACCGGGAAATCAGAAACCCTAAGATACGCTAAAAACACTCTCACCACAGGCTGGAGAGAAATAAACTTGCCCTGATGGCTGGTAGCAGGCAGCTTAAATAGAGGCAGGAGCAGGCGGATGAGTTGAGCTTTAATGAGAAACCAGGCAAAGTTAGACAGGTGAATGAAATGAATAATGTAGCTGCTCTGCATTCTAAAGAGCATGAACACTAAAACTACAGGAACTTTAGCAAAAATGACTGAAGATATCTAATGTAACATTTTGAGTCTATCTGACTGTAGGTGCCAATAACCTACCTTTGTTTCAGACTTGGCCAATATGGCATCCACACCTCCGCTTTCTCTGTAAGTTGTCGATGTGTTATTTGTTAATGGAAGGTCTCCCTTTCAGATATCCTACTGGACGATGGCTACGAGGGAAACCTCCGCAAGGAAAGTCGCAGTGTGAGGATCATGGTTAGCATCAGCAATGCACCAAAAAGCACCAAGGTTTGACCAGCTGGGATCCCAGTAATATATTCTTACACCTCCTGACTCTTACAGTAACAGTTCTGCTTATTCTTCAGGGTCCACAAAGCCATGAGTACCTGATTGGCTCTATAGGCGTCAGCGGTAAGACCAAGTGGGATGTCCTGGATGGGGTCATTCGACGTCTCTTTAAGGTGAGCAGATCCTCACCTTGAGGCAATGAAACATTGCTTTCAAGCACAGTTGTTTTTTTTGTTTTTTAAATACTCCAGTTGTGTGTAAGGTTCTGCCCAGTTTGCAGTAACATTTAATAAAGTACAGTTATGCCTCCTTGGCTGCCGCCCTCCTGTAGGAGTATGTGTTCCGGGTCGATCCTGGGATCAGCCTGGGTCTTAGCTCTGACAGCATTGTGGGCTACAGGATGGGGGATGTGATTCGCTGCCACGCGTCTGAAGTGCCTGAGCTGTTGCCCTGTGGATACCTGGTGGGCGACAACAACCTAATCAAGGTCAACCTCAAAGGTATGCTGCATATTTTACTCATTAGCATTTGGCTTTCTTGCTAAAAGTCAGCTTTTATCATGATGTTTTCCAGAAACAAAACAGAAAGAAATGTAAAACACATTTCTGATGTGGGTAATTTGTTTTTTTCCCTCTGTTCTCATCCTAGGTGTGAAGGAGAACAGCATAGACAGCCTTGTGTTTGACACTCTCATTCCAAAGCCTATAATCCAGAGGTACCTCAACCTGTTGATGGAGCATCGGCGGATCATCCTCTCAGGACCCAGCGGCACAGGAAAATCCTTCCTGGCTGCCAAGCTGGCTGAGTACATCATTACGCAGATGGGCCAGGAGGTGACAGAGCACAACGTGGCCAGCTTTAATGTGGACCAGAACTCAAGCAAGGTAAAGAGCTTTACTCTTTCATCGAACATATTTTCATTGTAAAATGGCTGCTGCACATACTGGCCAACTACTGGAATTAAAGGAGAATGAATGAAGTATTTTCTCTTTCTTTCTTTGTATCCACTTTTAAATGTTCCCTTTTACTTGCTTTTGTATTTTTTCCATATTTTTTTCTTTCACCTTCCTTCCTTCCTTCCTTCCTTCCTTCCTTCCTTCCTTCCTTCCTTCCTTCCTTCCTTCCTTCCTTCCTTCCTTCCTTCCTTCCTTCCTTCCTTCCTTCCTTCCTTCCTTCCTTCCTTCCTTCCTTCCTATTTACTTATATATCTAAAGTTACCATATGTTATTGAGTTTGGAAGTTCTGTGGACTGAATAAAACAAACCTTTTGTCCACTTTCAGAGGTTTTAGTTTTTCCTTTCACTTCCACCTCACACTTCTTTGCTATTTGGTGCTGCTCACATAAAATCCCTCCAGAAATATTTTTTCAGAGTTTTTAGTGTATCTCATAGAAACTTTATTGATCAAAAGTTGGACTTCCTCTTCCACAGGACCTCCGTCGGTACCTGTCCAACCTAGCAGAGCGGTGTAACTCTGAGCGGACAGACGCAGAGCTGCCCACTGTGGTCATCCTGGACAACCTCCACCACATCGGCTCTCTCAGCGACATATTCAACGGCTTCCTCAACTGCAAGTACCATAAATGGTGAGGAAGAAAGTGAAACACCTTGAAGGGACAAGCTGGACTGGTGGCAACAGCCTCAGCCAAGTCGACTCAGATCAGATCAGTTTCCTTTATACCGCCTGATGTGAGAAATCCACCTCTAAGGGCAGCAGCCCAGTATAAGTCTGACAAGCTAAATGTGAATAAAATAAGAGCATAAGAAAATGTGAATGTGTATATTTGTATCAGTGAAGCTCTAGCTTGAAATAGCCATGTTTTTTTCCTCCCCCTGTTCAGCCCTTATGTCATCGGGACCATGAGCCAAGGGGTCTCCTCCTCTCCAAACCTGGAGCTTCATCACAACTTCAGGTTTGAAGCCTTCATGTGTTTAATCCAGCTTGTCTGACTCCTTTCTCTGCGAACACAATAGTAAATGACAGAACAAGCTGCAAAAGAGTGTGTGATCCAAACTCCAAAATCAACAGAAGCAACAGAAAATTTCTAATATCACAAAAATAAGATAATTAAAATATTAGAAACAGCAGCAAACTCTCTACTAGAGGGAGCCAAACAAACGACAAACCATATTGAAACAGATTTTCCATACAAACAGGAAATATTTGCCTGATAAACCAGACTAAATGTAAGATTAAATGTATAATTTAGCCTGGCCCCGATGAATGAGACATTGGAAGATTATTGATGGGAACAAACCGTTGTTTTTCAAACCATGTCTGTGCCTATTGGCCAACGCTCTGACCAATGAGCGCAACTGACTGTGACGTACTGTAAGCACGAAACAGCAAATACGTCCTTCTTAAAAATGAATGAGCGTAGAGCCTCTTCCTGCTCAGGTTTCAATGAAAACCCTAAGTGTCATCCTTCCAAAACTGATTCCAAAGCCGAGTCAAACGAGAACTGTTCAATAGTTGTTGCCATCTTCCTTGTGCTTTCTGCAGTGTCGCGCAGCTTTGTCATCACGCCCTCAAAACCCTGCCCGCTTTGCATCAAAAAATTCAAAACCCATCTCTGCATTGTGATTGGTTCGCCAGTTCTAGGGCCTGGGGCATCAATCGAGGCTAGACCAATCGCAGGCAAAAATAATTTTGGCCACTGGCGGGTGGGGCTGGTTTACTAGGCTAAGGAAATCCAGCATTTCAATAAGCTTTTTTTAAATGTTTTTTGACGTATTGCATCAGAAAAACTTGAAGGAAACAATAAATATGAACAAAATGTTTTTGCCCTCTATTGAGGTGGTTGTTCCTATTGTGTGCTTAAACACAGCTGGAAGCAACATCCTCATTACTAACTGACATTTTAATGTAATAATAACTTACTAAATAGCAGTACATCCATTAAGACGTTCCTGCGGGATGACCTTATGTGGACGACGATGTATTATGAGGCTTTGCAGTCGCTCAGTGAATTCCCTTCAAACCAAATGGAAAAACCAAGTCATTTAATCTGTAGTCATTGTCTTATCTAAAGAAGTAGATAAAAGAAACGTGATGGCATTTGAACTATTAAAATGAAAAACTGTAAATGATAAAAAAATGAGCAGATATTAATAAGGGTGCGTCTGTCGTTCTGTAGGTGGGTTCTGTGCACCAACCACACGGAGCCAGTCAAAGGTTTCCTGGGTCGCTTCCTGCGACGGAAGCTCATTGAGACGGAGCTAGATAAGAACACGCGCAGCAACGACCTGATCAAAATCATCGACTGGATCCCCAAAACCTGGCAGCACCTCAACGGCTTCCTGGAGGCGCACAGCTCCTCTGATGTCACCATAGGTCAGTCCAGATAAAACAAGAACACGCCGTTTGGGTTTATGGTTTCTTCTCTGTTTGATGGGTGCTGCTCTGCACACCGCAGGGCCTCGTCTCTTCCTGTCTTGTCCCATGGATGTAGAAGGTTCTCGGGTTTGGTTCACTGACTTGTGGAACTACTCCCTGGTACCATACCTGCTAGAGGCTGTCAGAGAAGGATTACAGGTACACAATGATACTTTGAATATGCTGGATCAATCACAACATGTTCAGCTCCATTTATTACAAATGTACCGACCCTTAACAATCTACAAAAAGGACTCTTTGCCTTTTATGTAGTCTTATTTGCACGTTTCTAAGGAAGGCATTCAGTGTTAAATAATTTCATGCGTGCATCTCTTTTCCACTCTGGGCCTTTAGCTGTATGGGAAGCGAGCAGTGTGGGAGGATCCGTCCAAGTGGGTGAATGACACATATCCGTGGAACGCCGCTGCTCTGCAACAGGAAGGCCAGTCGCTGCTCCAGCTGAGGCCAGAGGATGTGGGATATGACGGCTACAGCTCGTCCAAGGAGGGGACGTCGTCCAAGCAGGTGTCTCAGAGCGACACAGAGGGAGACCCGCTGGTGAGGACCGTTCTCACCTCATGTATTAACAACAGTAGCAAATCTAGTAGGAAGACGAGAGTATTAACAGCCAGCGCTTTAAGTAAATTAAAACATGGCTAAAAGAAGGCAAGTAAGTGGAAAGAGAATTCATGATTACTGCAGCCCAAGAGGAATTAAAGGGTAGCCATACAAAACCGGCTGGCTTGATTTAACAAGAGAGCCTGGGTGTGTATGTGCTCGCAGTTATTATGCGGTGGAGCCAAAACCCATTTCAGGAACACTGGAAGCAATTCACCAGATGCGGCAGTGCTTCTGCATTATTTAGATCATTAGCTCTGCAGCAGGGAGGAAAAGTTTGGCTGGTTTATAGAGGTAATTGATTGCAGAGTTCACAAAGTGCACAACAAACAGTGATGGAGTTTATGAGGTGGCGAATTTTTGCCCTCATATGTGAGGAAAAATCTAATTAGTAGCAGTATTTTTTAATGTAAATACTGTAAAGCATAGTTTTTAATTTAGAAAATCTGTTTTCATTGGTTTATATTACTTTATTTAACACAAAACGAGTACAAGTGAAACTTGACGACTTATTAGGGCATAATATAAGTGACAGCCATGTTGGATTTTGAAGATCAGGTTTGGTGACTTTAAAAATGTCTCCATTTATTGGTTTCTAAGCTTGAAAACAAATTAGAAAACTAGCAAATACAGTCACCATCTGTACAGTCTGTCATCGGCGCCCTGATGGCGCTAATAAACGTAGCAGTTTCTGTCAGGGATCACTCTGACAGGTATTGTTAAGAGGCTGCGCTGTTTCTAAATTTTCTCTGGTGGACGTGAATAAATAGACAAGGCTACTGTAGAAGCTCCACTGCTTAAAGGAAGATTTGACCAAAACATTTCGTACTCAAATTGAAACATATCACAGAATGAAAAGGATCAGTTGCAGCTGCATCAGTTTGGTCTATGGAAGGCCAAAAGTGCCACAATCTCGATGTATTAAAAAGTGGAAACATTTATATATTTATATTTTACAATGTGATAGTATAAATGTTTCATGTGATATATGCATTAAACAAATAAAAATTGTTTTATCTGAAAATTTATAAATAATTATTGTTTTCTATTTGAAATAATACATAAAATACTATTCATTGCCATATACCAAAGGTATCAGGAATTTATTGTATCCCTTACTTTAATAATTCTGGCTACTGAGAAGACATTTATAGTGATTTAAATTCTTAAAGGTGATCTGCAGCTGACTTTTATTCTGTCCTTTGATAAAGAAAGTCAAAGTGGTTCAATAAATGTGTATATTTTAAGGCACAATTTATTTAAAGATTGATCAATAGAGATTTTAGTTAACACGCTTTCATAAATATTAGAGATGCACCGATCGGATACTTGGATCTGATATTGACTAACAGAACAGATATTGGTTACTTAATATCTGATATCGGAGATCCAATCCTCTGCACTTTGCATGGAACTGTTATTTCTTTCTTTTTGCTGCTTATTTGTAAGTAAATATTATAAAGCACATTTATATCTTTGTTAAGTTGCTACCTTTTTTAACAGTTGTTTAAAGTCTTCACACACGGAAAGATGTAATTAATTAATTTAACAGTTGAATCATTTCGTTATCAGATAGTGGCCAATATTCTCAGTCCAGATATCCAGGTATAGGATTGGATCAGAAAAAAGGGATCGGTGCATCTCTAATATATTATATGCTGTAAACTGGCAATTGGGCATCCTGGTTAATTAACTATTCATGTATTTATTTACTGATTGATATCCACAGATGAACATGCTGCTGCGGCTGCAGGAAGCGGCAAACTACTCCAGCACCCAGAGCTGTGACAGCGACAGCACCAGTCACCATGACGACCAGCTGGACTCCTCCTTGGAGTCGGCTCTATGAGCCCATGACACATGATGGCAGACCTGGATCCCTCTCCACCTCTAAACCCTGGAGAACCTTTGAACCCCAAAGACTAACAAACCCCGACCACCTTCTCACCCCTCCCCCACAATACGTCAACCTTCCCTTCCTGCGAGAGCAAGTGTGCAACCTGTTCAGATTGCTAGTCCATCACAGAACCCGCACTCTAGAGATATATAATATATGGAAAGTTTTAATACCCAAAATGTTCGCTCAAATTGAAAGAAAAGGCCTATATTTTGATGGTGCAATATAAACCAGAATGTTTTTTTTTATGTTTTCAGAACCTTACTTTAATCCAAAAGCACTGTCCTCCTCTTTTTTTTGGACATTTTATAAAACAGTTCTTATGCGTTCCTGAAGTGAAATATCAGTAGCTCTGGTGTGTTTTTTTTCTAAGACACATTTCCTTTGGTTTACTTATAGAGGAAAATGTCCAAAGTGTTACGAAAATAACTAAAAAAACTGGATTTTTCTTTTTACCCAGTTAAATCCACGTATGTTTACATTATTAGGGCTGTTTCTTTGTTACAGAGGTGCTTCTTACAGACACGCACATACATACACACAGAGGAAGCAGAGAGGAAATCATCTTTTGATCAAAGCATTGTTTCCATTCAGTCTCTTGGTTGATCACTGTCAAACATGCCAGAGTCTCTTTTTCTTTAATGTTTAAGGAGATCTTTGGTTTAAAAGGGAGGCATAAAGGGCAGGTGCAGTGATTCCTGGGACTTCAAACACCTGATAACGTCTGGTGATTTGCACAAAAATACTTTATATATTTTATTCTCCTATTATTTTTGGCACCATATGGGAGAATTCTGGGGCTTTACAATTCAAATAGGATCAGAATTTGCCTACATTATATATAATAATAATAATAATTAATATTTATTAAAGACCAGGAGCTGGCCCAGGGATGTATGGAGAATAATTTTATTTTATTTTTTGGGGTCCACTTCCTGTTAAACTCAGTTCCCAGTAGCCACCACAGCAGATCTAATGTCTATTTTATATTTTCAACCTTTAAATCCTTTTTAGTTCCCTATTGCATAGAATATATTCATTACCAGGAGGCTAACTAGGTGATATTAGTAGGACGGTTACTGCCTGCAAATCCTATCTTATAAAATATATTTTTAAAACAGCATAACATGAACAAAAGGGATGATGGATCCTCGGTTAGTTTTTCCACACTGTGAAGTTCCAAGTTCTAAGCAGCCACATTTCTTTTTTTTTCTTATCCAAGGCATAGGGTATTAGCCTTGTTTCAGTCAGCTGACTGTCCGTGTGCAGGAGTAGCTTGGGCAGGGTGCAGCACCAGCTCATTAAAAAGACATTAACTCATAAGAACAGGTTTTTATTTTAACATTTTAGAGGATTTAGGACCATTAACATTTATTAACAGCTCATCATTCAGCTCTGGGTTAGAGGCAAAGTTGACTTTGGTTACTTTTTTAAATGTTATCAATTCAATTCAATTCAGTTTATTTATATAGCGCCAAATTCACAACACATGTCATCTCAAGGCACTTTACAGTTCAACCAGATCAAATTGATACAAAGTTTTCTATCTAAGGAAAACCAGTTGATTGCATTGACTCATTGACTCAAATACAATCCCCCAAACTAAGCATGCTTGTAGCGACAGTGGAGAGGAAAAACTCCCTTTTAACAGGAAGAAACCTCCAGCAGAACCAGGCTCAGTGTGAGCGGCCATCTGCCGAGGCCGACTGGGGTTCAAGGAGACAGAAGCAGAGATACAAAAAGCAGCTGTAAAAGGCGGCCCCGTCCAGGAAACACACAGCCAGGCAGACGAGCTCCGAGGCAGCTCCCATGCCAGAGGACGAAGAGAGCACATCCACTCAGTCACGGTCAGAGAAACAGGACCACACTGGAAAACAGGCCGATCTCCAACATCTATTAACAAGGGTGTTGATAGAAGCAGCACAGCTGATATTTTTTTCCAGGATGACGTCACAGCCAAACAGGAACAGACGAGGCAAAGCTACTCTGAGGAAAAGCAGAGAGAGCAGAAGGTTAGAGATTGAACTAACAGATTCTGCAGAATAGGAGAACAGAGAGAGAATGAAGCAGAATGATGAAATGGGGGTCCCTATGTCCTCCAAAAGTCTAAGCCTATAGCAGCATAACTATAGAGATAGCTCAGGATAACCTGAGCCACCCTAACTATAAGCTTTATCAAAAATGAAAGTTTTAAGCCTAGACTTAAAAGTAGACAGGGTGTCTGCCTCACGGACTAAAACTGGTAGTTGGTTCCACAGGAGAGGAGCCTGATAACTAAAAGATCTGCCTCCCATTCTACTTTTAGAAATTCTAGGAACCACTAGTAAACCTGCAGATTGAGAGCGAAGTGCTCTGTTAGGAACATAAGGAACAATCAGATCTCTGATATAAGATGGAGCTTGGCCATTTAAGGCTTTATATGTGAGAAGGAGGATTTTAAATTCTATTCTTGATTTAACAGGAAGCCAATGAAGAGAAGCCAGGATAGGCGAGATATGATCTCTCTTTTTAATTTTCATTAGAACTCTGGCTGCAGCATTTTGGATCAGCTGAAGGCTTTTAACTACAGTTTGTGGACTTCCTGATAGTAAAGAATTACAATAGTCCAGCCTTGAAGTAACAAATGCATGGACTAGTTTCTCAGCATCACCCCTGGACAGGATATTTCTAATTTTTGCAATGTTCCTCAGATGAAAGAAGGAAATTCTAGAAACCTCTTTGATGTGGGATTTAAATGACAGGTCCTGATCAAAAACAACACCAAGATTTTTTACTTTATTATCTGAAATCAGTTTAATCCCATCCAAATGAAGTGACTGGCTAATCAGTTTCTTTTTCAGAGACTCTGGTCCAAAGACTATAACTTCTGTTTTGTCTGCATTCAGAAGCAGAAAGTTAAGAGTCATCCAGGTTTTTATGTCTTCAAGACATGCCTGTAATCTATGTAATGGGTTAGCTTCATCTGGATTTATAGACAGATATAGCTGGGTATCATCAGCATAACAGTGGAAATTAATCCCATGCTGTCTAATAATTCTACCAATTGGGAGCATGTATAAAGTAAAGAGAATTGGTCCTAGCACTGATCCCTGTGGTACTCCACAGGTAACCTTTGAGCGTGTTGAAGATCTATCATTAACATGAACAAACTGAATTCGATCAGATAGATAAGATTTAAACCAGTCTAGTGCTGTTCCTTTAATTCCAACAAAATATTCAAGTCTTTCTAAAAGAATATTATGGTCAACTGTATCAAATGCAGCACTAAGATCCAACAGGACGAGCACAGATACAAGTCCATTATCTGAGGCCATGAGAATATCATTAGTGACTTTCACCAGAGCTGTTTCAGTGCTATGATGAGCTCTAAAGCCAGACTGAAACTCTTCAAAAAGTTCATTATGGTGGAAGTGATCGCAAACTTGTTTGGCAACTACTTTCTCAAGAATTTTGGATAAGAAAGGAAGATTGGATATAGGTCTATAATTGACCAAGTCATCTGGGTCAAGAGACGGTTTCTTAAGCAGAGGTTTAATTACAGCAACCTTAAAAGCTTTAGGTACATATCCCTGTAACAGAGATAGATTAATCACATCTAAAATGGAGGAGGAGATCAAAGGGAATACCTCCTTAAATAACCTGGTTGGAACTGGATCTAACATACAAGTTGAAGGCTTAGATGAAGACAATAATTTTGCTAATTCAGAGAGTTCAACTGGATCAAAGCAGTCTAAACCCAGTTCAGATTCCATGACTACCTCAGGTACAATCGCGGATAGAGGAGTGCTTATGATCTTATTTTTAATAAGATCAATCTTATTTATAAAGAATCCCATAAAGTCATTGCTGCTAAGAGCAGGTGGAATGGACGGTTCAACAGAGCTATGGCTCTGGGTGAGTTTGGCAACTGTATTAAAAAGAAATCTAGGATTATTCTTATTCTCCTCTATTAATGAGGAGAAGTATGCTGCTCTTGCTTTACAAAGGGTCCTCTTATACAGCAGTAAACCATTTTTCCAGACTAGGAAGGACTCTCGCAGGCCTGTGGAGCGATATTTTCTCTCCAGTTTCCTAGCATTTTGCTTCAAAGTACGCAGCTCTGCATTAAACCAAGGAGCAAGCTTTCTATTTTTAACGGTTTTCATTTTCAAAGGAGCTGCGTTGTCTAAGGCAATACGCAGAGAACTAGCAACCCCATCAACAAAATCATCAACCTGTGAAGGCGAATAAGCTAAACTTTTGCACTCTGCAGCACTGCTCAGTGACACAGAGGAGAGAGAAAGTGAAGCAGATTCTTTAAAATTTATAACTGCACTATCTGATAAAGATCTACTAAAATTGAACCTTCTTTTGGGGGAGGAGAACTCTGTTAAAGTAATCCTGAAGGTTATTAGAAAGTGGTCAGAGAGGACAGGGTTGTGAGGAAATACTGTTATTTCTTCACATTCTATGCCGTATGTCAGCACAAGATCCAAAGTATGAAGATGAGAATGCGTGGGACTATTCACATTTTGAACAAAGCCAATAGTGTCTAAGATAGCATTAAAGGCTGCTCTTAAGCTATCGCCTTCAATGTCAGCATGGATGTTAAAATCTCCCACTATGATGACCCTGTCAGTATTTAATACCAAATCAGAAAGGAACTCTGAAAACTCATCTAAAAATTCAGAGTAAGGACCTGGTGGACGATACAAAGTTACAAAAAGAAGAGGTTTTCTTGCCTTGAAATTTGGATCAGGGAAATTAAGGGTTAAATGTTCAAAAGAGTTGTAGGTATTAACTGTTTTGGGAGTAATCAGTAAGTCAGACTGGAAGATTGTTGCTACTCCTCCTCCTCGCCCAGAACTTCTGGGGATGTGAAAATTTAAATAGCTTGAAGGAGTTGCCTCATTTATGCTCACATAATCCTCTTGCTGCAGCCAGGTTTCTGTAAGGCAAAACAAGTCAATGTGATTATCACAAATCAAGTCATTAACTAGTAGACTTTTAGAGGAAAGCGATCTTATGTTAAACAGACCGCATTTAATTGTTTTAACTTTTTCCCCAATTTGAGTTATTTTGATTTTAATTAGATTATCATGATTTACTCCTTTGGGAATCTTTGCTAATTTATTAGATTTTGGTCGTGGGCAAGACACTGTCTGGATGGAGTAAAGAGTGGGTAACAGTAGAGAAGCTGCAGAGATGTGTGTTAAACTACAACTCTGCTTCCTGGTCTGCACCCTGGGTGGTCAGGGTTTTGGAGGACTAATAAATGTGGCCAGATTCCTAGAAAGAAGAGCTGCACCATCCAAAGTGGGATGGATGCCGTCTCTCCGAATCAGACCAGGCTTTCCCCAAAAGGATTGCCAATTATTAATGTAGCCCACGTTGTTTTCAGGGCACCACCTAGACAACCAGCGGTTGAATGACGACATGCGGCTAAACATGTCATCACTGGTCAGATCAGGGAGGGGACCAGAGAAAATTACGGAGTCCGACATTTTTTTGGCAAACTTACACACCGAAGCAACACTAATTTTAGTGACCTCCGATCGGCGTAACCGGGTGTCATTACCACCAGCGTGAATAACAATCTTACTGTATTTAACCTTATCCTTAGCCAGTAGTTTCAGGTAGGATTTGATGTCGCCCGTTCTGGCCCCCGGCAAACATTTGACTATGGTCCCTGGTGTCTCTAATGCCACGTTTCTGACTATGGAGCTGCCAATCACCAGAGTGGGCTTCTCAGTGGGTGTGTCACTGAGTGGGGAAAACCGGTTAGAAACGTGAACGGGTTGGTGGTGACCAGTGGGCAGAGATCCACGACTACGCTTTCTGCGTACAGTTACCCAATCGCCTGGCTGCTCAGGCACTTTTGGAGGACAGCTACGTGGGGGGCCTACTTCAACAGCCTGAAGCCTGGATTCTAACTCTGACACCCTCGCCTCCAAAGCTACAAAAATACTACACTTATTACACATCCCATTATCACTAAAGGAGGCAGAGGAATAACTGAACATCTGACACAGAGAGCAGGAGAGAGGAGAGGAAGAAGGAAGAGTTGGAAAAGAGTCAAGGGAGGGAGAGAGAGAAGCCATAGCAATGCTAAGCTAGCGCTAGCCTAGGCTAGCTACTCCTTGCTATCAGAAATAAAACCGTGTGAAACTGACAAGTGCTCAGTAGAAAAGTGCAGCAGAAGGTGCTATGTTTTAAAGTAGTCAGTTAGAGTTACTTAGATACAGAGATATCACAGAGAAAATAACTTAACTTCAGATGGAGATCCTCTGAACAGCTGCACACTCAGTTAATCCAAACAGGAAGTGAACAGGTCCAAACAGGAAGCAGGAAGCAAAAACCAACCAAATTATCAATGTTTTATTAAAAACTATTGATCTCAATTTTGAATACAATATTTGCACCTAGCAGTTTTCGGTACTCCAGGCCAGTAGGGGGACCCTACAGAGCCCCATTCCCTCTTTATACCTCGGACCAGCTCTAAACTTAATCAGCCAACATTTCTTTAAACCTCGTGGTGCTGGGTCCGCTGGCCTGAAACCTTTCAGTGTCAGCCACTGCCAAGCTGTTCCAAATGCCAACAACAAGCACAATGAAAGTGTTTTAGCTGCATGTCCCCCGGCCATCCTGCTGGAAGAGTGCCAATAGTTTCCCTTTGATCCGACTGCCAAGTGTCCACACCTCAAAACAAAGCCCACCATGGTTGTCCACTCAAAGTCCCTCACCTTCCAAACACAACCTGAGTGGGTCTTCAGCTTTAATCAACAGCGGTGAATGTCTACTGACTCTAGAAAACAAAATGAAGAGTACTTAATGGAATAACCCAACCTCTCCATTAAGATAATTCTGCCTGTGAAATACCTGCTTTCATCTTTGTCTGAAAACCAATTAGAACTGTTGTCTTATTACAGTTTAATTAGATCAGCCAAGAGCAGTAAAAGGGAACAATAATATTGGTGCTTTCGAACTGCCTTAAATGTTCAAAGTTTCTTAAAGCATCTTTTACTCCATCTGAGAAAACGGTATATTTAATGTCACCTCATGCTACCCTGCTTCCCCCTTTCGTCAAAGATGCTGCTTGAACAAGAAGCAGCTATTACTGCTTGCGGCTCCATCTTCTTCCTCTGAAGCACCATTGCTTCTATCTGATAGTAAGAAACGAAGAGACGCTGTATTCTAGTTCAAAATCAGAACTATATTGAATAAAGAAACAAAAAAAAGGGGGGGGGGGTATGTTTTAGTTGTTTTGCACCCAGTTGAGCTGGGTTAACTTGAATTAAAAGGAGCACAACCAAACTGTTTTTGTTTGTTTGTTTTTTAGCTTGATGAGCATGTTTTTGAAGCTTTAAAAAAAAAAAAAAGTGGGTGAGGGGCGCTTTGAGGAGGGATCTTCACCTTGATGAACGCGCGTACTGGATGGAAGAAGCCATTTTGAATTTTGATTGTCCTCTTTTCGTTTAACTGGGTCGGTTTTGCACACTTTAAGGATCGGGTGGGCTGTAAATACTTATAAAATTCTTGCACATTGAATCAAAGACGCATTTTGGCCGGTTGGTGTTACAAAATGCAAAACCCGCTGACGATATTGCCGTACTATGAAAAACAGAGATAAAAAGATGCAAAAACTCAACCCGCTGTCAGAAACACGTCTGTGTCTTGTGGTGATTTGATGTTTTGCCTATGCAGGAGGCATTAGCTGTATAGTAATAAAACTGTTTGAACTCACTAAACTGAAAAAAATGTAGGCACCTGTCCAATACTCCTTATTCTACCATGAAATACTCTTAATCCCCGCTGTCTTTAGAAATGCACGCAGTTTCTTAAAGGGATTGTTTGGGATTTTTAAAGTGAGGTTCTGTTAAAGAATTACAAGCGGTTAATTATTACCTCCAGTAGATAACTCTCTTGTCATCTTTATTTGGTGTAAATCCAGACTAGTTGGTCCAAGTGGCTAAAGTTAATGGCTAGTCTGAGAAAAGCAAAGGCCAAAAAAAAAGTCTTACCTTCTCAAAACAACTCCAGTCTCACGGAACGTCATTGTGTCACTTTGTATCTTTTGGGTTTAAGCTGTTTTTCTCCCAAGATGTCTCGTCTATGCCATACTAGCGAACTTTGATGCCTTATTTGACGACAAGAATCTGTAAGTCTAATACATTACAAAGAATTTTGTGAGAAAACAGAATTGGCGAAAAGGCAAAAGGTCCCGCAGCCGTTTTGGGAACGATGGGAAGGTAATTTACCTGGAGACACCCACAGGGATCGTTGTGTGTAAAAACTTAGTGTAGGCAAAGTGAATTTGTTGTTTTTTTGTCAAAGGGACTAATTGAGAGTGTAAAAACCCAATAAGCAGCTTCCACATTGACCAAAAGCAGTAGTTTTACTTCCAGAGACCTGGTTTGGGAGTTGTCACATTTTGGAGACTAAGAACGTCATTCTCTTGCCATTTTTAGTATACAGACAAAGTCCTTTGGTCTTGCTGTGTTTTTAAACCCCTAAAGTGGAAATTTTTCTTCCATTCTTAGCACTTGTTTCACACAGGAAGATTGTTGGTTGCGCACTGCTGCCAACCTGCGATTCCATTATAAAGAGTCAGATTCTTGGGCAAATAACCACCCACTGCTAACATGACGATGGTTTCAAGTTTAAAACACAACAGTCATTTAAACTTCAGTTTATTTCAGTTAAGATTGTACAGATCATTGGCCATTAGCTTCAGCTAGTGGAAACCATTGACCTGGGTGTATACCAAATAAAGTTAACCAGCGCGGCTAAGATATTAAGTACCTAGAACTTCTCTTTGAATCCTGTACAATCCCTTTAAAAACCACTTCCTCTCTGGTGACTTTAGCCCTAACTCACCACAACCTTAGGTTGCATAGCTGTCTGAGGCACAGAAGTTGACCCGACACCGTACTGTACATCTAACAGGTGCTAATGGTCAGTAAGAAGCCCACCAGAGACCAACAAGTCTTGTTGTCATAACCTCAGGCAAACCTCTACAATCCTACCTGTACTCAGCTTCACACGTGTCTCTGCAGCCCAGCCTGTGATGGTTGCTAACCAGATGGTGTAGTTGCATGCCAAGGGTGAAATGACTGTGTTTACAGGTTGCTGTCTACCTAGACCTACACCCATGTATCAGAACCTATGTATGCTCCTGTTATAGGCCATTAGCTCCCAAGATAACAGCACTTTGACACCATTAACACCATTGTGTTGACAAGCAACTGGTCATTTTTTTCCACTTTACACTTTAGAGTTGCATCTCAGCTGGAGACCATAGCATTTACTCTGGTTTGACAGAATGTTTTGTTTCTTTCCGGGTGAAGCATTTGTCCTTAAATGTTTTATATTTTGTACATTTGTATGTAACATATCATGTAAATATGCAGAGACGGTGATTTAACTCATCTGGAGGATTTTGTAGTCTTTGTAAAGCCCTAATAAATGGTATTTGGTGTCACTCAAGCAATTTGTTTGAGTTATCTGTTTTTTTTATTTTAGATGAATCTGAACTAGAGTTAAAAGCAAAACTAGTATTTGCACACAAAAAAAACTCTTCTTATAGAGTTAACATGTTACACACAGCCTTAAGTCTATACATGCATACCCTCCAATACATGGTTACATTTCCATCGGTGAGTTACACTCAGCTTTACCTCTCGGTTTCCGTCAACAAGATCCTTGTGTGATTCTAGTTGGATATTTTGTCAATTTTTTATTTGGTGTGTAATCCAATAGCTGGGTTATACTGTAGGAAGCTTGATGTTCTCCATATCCATGCCAGTTCTGGTCAGTCTAAATGATTCATTGGATTAATACAGCTAAACCAGTGGCAGAGATTAAATCCTCAGCATAATGCTGCCACCACCATACTTGACAGTTGGTGTACTGCTTTATATTTTGAAACCACTATATCAGCCTCAATGAATATTCTGTATTATTTTTGTTAAAAGCTCCTTTTTTAGGGGGTTTATAACCTCTTTCTCCAGAAAGCATTTTATTGTGCAAGACAATAAGGATTTCAAATAAATCCATAAATGACATTTATACCCATGATAAATGTACATAAACTATTTGATATGGAGAATTATAGATTGGGATATCAGGGAATATAAAAAAAAAACTGACTTTTAGGTAAGATGCATTCAGTGATTTCTGTCTGCCATCTAGTGTTCAAATTTTACAGACACATCCCTGAGAGGAAATAAATATGTTCTTTAGAAGAGACGACAAATTCAGGGAGTGTTATCACAGATCCTTCCTCCCAGCAGCTGGAAGACCTTATAACCACGTGTTCCCAATAACCTCTAAGTTGTTCCATTCATACTGATTTTGCACAGTTTCTATCTTATCCATTATCTATCCATTACTTTAAAAATGTCCATAGCTGTATATTGGTTATTTATTGTCCAGGTGCACAGTTTTATATTGATAAAACATTTTACAGTGCAGTATTTTATTGTTTATCTTTTAACTCTTCACTAGTATGTTATTCATATATTATTCTATTCTATTATAATAATATATTATAATTGTATATATAAGATCAATTGGATTTCATTAAACATCAAATACACGCTTGGAAATTGGATTACAGTCTATACCAGTTGGTGGCGGTAGAGGGAACATTGTTTATGTCAACCTCCAACGAATCCATAAGAAGAAGAAGAAGAAGAAGAAGCTCCTAGAAACCGTCCATTGCAAAGATGGGTCCCAGCGCGACTCCTGTCAGTCCGTCAGCTGACAACATGTTTAGATCCAACGGGCTTCCCGTCAACCTACCGAAACACTCCTACTGGATGGATTTCTGGGCCTTTGTGCTTTTCGACGTCGCTTTATTCCTCTTTGTATATTTCATCGTCCCTTAAAGGGGTAAGTAGGAGGGAGCGCAGAAGTTTCTAGCTAACTGGGTGGCTACGGAAGTTAAAATGTTGATTTGGATTTAATGTGAAGCAGTTACTGGTAATAGAAAAAAAAGTTTTGTTTTATCACGCTGGTGTGTTTTTGCTTTAAAATCCTCTTTTCCAGTTAAATCCGTCTCCGGTTTTGACGTAGAGCAACAAACGGCCATTAGTTACAAGCAGCAAGTCACGGATCACTATGATGCGTTTCAGTGTTTTCTGGAAATCAGCGATACATCCGCCATCAGTTCATTATTAAACCATCTATCAGGCTATAAAGAGATTTAATCTGATTTAAACTGTATAAAGATACACGATATATTCCAAAGCTGGGACGTTATCACAGCTTCCTGGACGCTGCCTCTGCATTTTCATCAGTTTTAGATTCGGACTTTTACTATTTTGATAGTGTTATTTATCAATGTTTGGGATCATTGTTTTATTTAACACCTAATTTGTTCAAAGCTTCATATCATACAGATGGCGTCCCACTTAACCCAAAGAACAGAGCTAATGGTGCCCTCGCCAGACATATTGTTTGTCTACTACAGTGTCATTATAGCACTGAACTGCTTTCATTGCATTACATAGTATCTAATTGTATTGTTTTTTTTCCTACAAAAGTAATGCCCTAACCTTCAAAAAAAAAAAAAAAAAAACAGATAATAATTTCTCCCCCACCCTGCTTGGACAGTGGATCTATGTTTTTTACTGATAGGATCTGTCTTGTTTTTCCCAAACACTACCTGCCTTTGCTGTTGTCTCAAATATGAAGCAGACATTTCAGATAATTAGATAAAACTTTGCAAACCTCAGCTGTTCCACCATGTTCTTAAAAAAAAAAATGCTTTCCTGACTAACAGAGGTCATATTTGATTCAGTCCTGGACCATCACTGATAAACCAATCACAATGAGAAGATTTCATCAGTGCCAAACATAATGTTTTTTTTTTCGTTCTTTATACAGTGCTGCCTAACAACGAATATAATCTCAAAGCTTTTTTGTATGAAACAAAAGATCAAGTTTTTGTACAGGAATATTTTTGAATTTTAGTAGATTTTATATCTAATATAGATCAAATCACTCTAATCTGTTGTATCCAATGGTTTAATCAGTCTGAGGAAGCAGAACCGGTTGTTTCAAAGTCATATAAATGCTGAAAGTGCTGATGGAATTCTTTATTATTTTGTTTCTCCTGATCATAGAAGACTGAAGGTTCTCTGTTTAGGTATCGGCGACGTATTAAAATGATTTCAGTTAAAGTACAAAAGCTGTAAGATGCTTCTGTGATGGAAACTGTATTTTCTACAGAGGCTGAGCAAAGGAACGTAGTAAAGAAAAGTTTCTCTTTTTTATCCTTGTCAAAAATACGAAAGTTTCTAATGTGTTACAGTATCAATTTTGCATCTTTTGCTTTTATTTTGACTTTATCTTGAAGTTTAAAAAAGATCCTGCCAAAGGGTCACATTACATTTTTAAAGTAGATGTTTTTAAAAAGCACCAGAATGATCAATAATCAGCTTAAAGAAAACATGAACTTATTACTCCCCATATTTATTGGGCAGTAACTAGAAATGCAAGTTATTGATTAATGAATTATCTAAAGCAAATTGATCTCATGATCAACTAATGATTAATTACCAAGCTGCCATTTTCTTAAAAATGTTGTATCTAGCATACAGGGCTTTTAGTAGAAGGGGTTTAGCTACTTTATGAAAAATCAGAACTTGTGTCCATAAGGTGCTGGAAATGGCAAAAGCCTTTTCTTTCTACTTGCTAATTGCTAGCATGTCTTTTTCAATCATCTCATCCTGTCTTTCCAAGCAGCATAGAAGTTATGCTGCTCCTCCATTCAGCACATTTAACGGACTATATTTAGATGATAACTGAAGGATTCTATCCTATTTTTTTATATTTACAATTAGAACCACTTTAATTTCATTCTGTATCCTTGTCACTATTAAGTAATCCCAAACTGGACTCCTGATCGATTCATGTTTCTGCACTAGCATTACTTATCTTGCAACCTCTGACACTATAATGGCAATAACTTGTGCAATGTATATTGTGCAATTAATATTTGATACCCTGTGATATACTGTCTATACTGTATATATCCCATGCACCTTTTTCTCCCTTTGGCACCTTCTTCTTCTCCTTTGACTATTAGAGCTGATGCAATCAGTACATTTCTCCACTGTGAGATCAATAAATTCAATCAATCATCAATACTATTAAGGTTCCACTTAAGAATCCTCAGTGCTGCCCTCTACTGGACAGTCGTAACTTGACACTGAAAGAAATTCCGTCTAAAGGCTGATTTATACTCAGAAACCAGGCCGTCTGCGTGTGTCGCAGTGAACGCAAATGTTCCCCCGCCCCTTCCGCAGACACTCTGGTGCACCTCCCTGAAATTGTAGGTGACCGTAGACAGGCGGACTCTGATTGGTCAAATCTACATCCGCTCTACACTATGCTGTCTGGTACCTTACCAACTTGTTTTGTTTGTATGACCCCCAGTGTGCAAAATGACCATTTTCCACCTGGATCACCGCTCTTCCCCCCCCTCATGTCCCTCCGTTGACGCACATATTTGCTCCCACTTTCACATTTCTAATTCTAATTCTAATCTGATAAATTATTAACAGTTAACTGTAAATCGATTATATGTTTCCATCTTAAGCAGTAGCATCCTTTTCCCAAATCAGTGATGGAATCTTAACTCCCTAATATTAATATATACCATATGCTCCACATTCATGGAAAGATCTGCTCATATAGATGTGATGAAGTAATACAAAAAATTTTTTAAACGTTCCAATTTGTCTTTGCTGATGCCAAACAGCTTTTAATGGAGGTGGGACACTAAACACATCATTGACTGACTTTCTTGTTCCAGGATGGACCCCTTGGACTGGCTGCTAAGGATGTGGAGTGCTGCTCTTACCACGCTGTGAGAAGGCTAACCCAGCTTTGACTGAATTGAACCATGCGGCAGCTGCCCACAGCTCGCTCCAAAGGTGCTAACATTTCATGGGAAATGCATCCTGACTTCATATCAGACTTCAGCCAGAAGCTGCACACTAACTATTCAAGCGGATTCCTTTTGTCGAAGCCATGGAGAGGAAAATTGAAGTATTTATGTGCTACTGGGAACTAAAAACCCCTTGAATGACTACAATCTCCAAGACTCTGAAAAAACATGTTTGCAAATGATTTTTAGATGTCTCTGTCATCTCTATAAATGTTAACTAATAATGTCTTTTTTTTATCTGGGAAGAACAGATGAGCTACAGGAAGTATGTGGTTTGTCGCAGTAAGCCATAAGCTAAACTGTTGTTGAGACCAATGTCAACAGGAGCAAAGAAACACGAAACATTAGAAACAGTGTGTTGATGTGGGGGAAACTCCATGCTTATACTCCATACTTTACTTCTTCTATCCAAGACTTTTAATCCAAAATATGTTAAAATGGAATAAAATCTATAAAATAAATGTATTTGCAGTATTTGTAATGAAACACCTGATAAATGTTGCTTTTTACTTTTCTTTAATAGCATTATGAACCAATTAGGTAGTTAAATAGCCAGGTCTGATAGTGTACATGTAATATTTAGCTCAATAGGGATGTACTTTTATTTACACAAAAGAGTGTTGCCTAGTAGTGATAGTTGCTAACCAGCTTGCTTCCAGCAGAGCCTAAAAATAAAGGAAATAATTTTTTTTTTTTTTTACTGTAATCATTTTTTTTTTAGTCCTTTGTTCGCTTTAAAGTCGATAACAGCTCAAAATTTGATTTTGATCGCTAAAATTTTACTCACTAAAATGGGGCTTTTATTTTGAAGTACAGTGGCTTACTGTTTCCGGTGCGGAGAGCCGTTTAATGGAATGCTAAGCTACTGAGGTTTGCCGAGTTTTCTAGAGTGAAACTATGGAAAAGCCTTTCCAGATAGAAAACAGCGGTTTGTAAAATATTTTCCTTTGCTGTGTTGACATCGAACTTACAGAAAGAGCTAAAAGTTAGCCATTTCACTCCGGTCTTTGGACCACAATATAGATTTAAATAGTACATTATCAACAGTTTGCTGATTAAGCACATATTTTAAAAGCAAAACTCTGTTATTTTAATTTAGCTAATGTTGATCTGTTTTCACCCGGGCTGAAAGGAAACTAGAATGTGAGAAAAAGGAAGAGCTACAGTTTATGGCAAGCCATTTTAACAAAAATTCGCATGTACCGCCTTTATATTCAAGATATCTAAAATTGTTATATGACTAGACGTTTTAGCGATTTTAGATATCTCTAATTATATTTTGACTAGTCAAAATGTGGCATGATCTTTTTAATGGGCTTCCAGGAGGATGATTCCTAAAAAGTTTCTTACTGTCAGTTTAATCCAAGGGAGGAAAAGTGACACTTAAATGACAAATCCGGTGTTGTAATTTGAGATATCTTGAAAGGAATTTTGGCTAGGCAAAATGTAATTCAAGATATCTTGAATCATTATTCTTCCTAATCAGAATGTAAATACAGATATCTTAAATTACCATTCCGGATAGTCAAAATGTGGTTTTGTCTAGTCAAAATGTATCTTAAGATATTTGGAACGTAATTGTGGACGGTCAGGGGAAACCGAATTAATGTTAAAAAGGCTTGCCATAAACCATAGAAGTCCTGTATTTACTTTATACGTCTTGACGTCATAAATCCCTCTGCTCTTACCAGGGTGGTGTGACATCAATCTGAAAGCAGGTGGAGGAAAGAGGAAAATGAAGCAGAAAAGCTGCCTGTGGCTGAAACAAGTCAAAATTCCTACACTATTTGCTTAATTTCACTGTTTTTCACCTCTGGATAATTATGAGGGAATCAAAGTAGGGAGATATAGATTTATTTCCATATAAAATTAAAATCCATTGGACCAGGCCAAGTTTCTTTGTGCTTTTGTCCTTTGCTGTAGATCATCTCCTTTAAGATTTTTTGGTGTGTTTTTTGTTTTTCTTTTGAATGGTCTTATTTTCTTTCCATGATTATCCGGAAGCCATATCTGTCTCTTCTCTCTCTTTCCAAAGGATCCTCTTTAGACTAGACCAAGGGTTACCTAAGGTTTTAGGCATCCATGTTATACATTTAATTTTTAAATAATAAAAAATAAATAAATAAATAGAAAATTTTTCCATTTTAAAATCTAAAGTGTAGACAATTTCCTGATTGACATATTTTACATAACACAACTGATTGTTTTTTATGTCTTAATGAGAACAGTGGGCTTTAGGCTGCCCTGCAAGGTTTTTAAACCTGGGTTTAAATGGTGACAAAGCCATTCTAAAGCACATATCAAGGTGCTCATTTGTGCGTCATATTAACAGGCAAAGCGGCGCAAGTGAATTTAGACAATGTTGTCATGCGGTAATTTATAAATGTTTTAAATCAGGTTGGATCCGGATTAGCAGCAGGTGGGTCCGGATCTGGACCGCAGTCCGCTTATCCGTGACCTCTGGACTAGAGTAATGGTTGTTAATAAAACTCCTAGCAAATTGATATATTCTGAAATATTTATCCACGCTAATTAGGCCCTAGAAACCATGCAACATTGAAGGCCAATTAACTCCACTTTCTTTCCTTGTCTTTTCGATGCATTAACTTTCTTGCCTGATCAACGTGTTTCTTGGTTAATTTCACCCTGGATTTACACTTCAGCTTTGATCTTTTCTAGATAACCACCTTATTTTCACGATACTCTCTTAAAGGTATAGTGGAGGATGTTCTTTTTCCGGGTAGTTCATCTAAATAAGTGCTCCTCCTAATTGTCAATCATTCTGGTGATATGTTTTTGTGTAAGGCCACCCTACGTGCTCGTCCCCATTTCCACTTACCAGTGGTGAGTTCGACATAGTGGAAAAATTGTAAATCCTGGAAAGTAAGCTTGTATGAGCGATGCAGAAAGCAACCTTTAAATAGAGGATGCACGAGGAGAAATGGACTTGCACATAAACTCAAATATGTGAGGCTTGAACTCAAAACCTCAGGATTCCAAGCTCTATACCCTTACCACTAGGCCACCACTCCCCTATATATCTATAGATTTATATTATATATTGTATGTTTTATATTGTAAAATGCTGTAGATTCTGTATATATGTCTAATTTGTCTGCAGCATCAAGACCAAGTCAAATTCCTTGTAAGTGCAAACATCCTTGGCAATAAACTCGATTCTGATAAATGTTTGGACTTTAGACAAAGTTCAATTCTAGGTCTTCTCTTTGTACCTTAACCTTGCATATAAATTCTTAACTATCATGACTGGCGATCATTTCTCTGCTTTGGAACAGATGTTTTTCTGCCGCTGTCATCCCTCCGGCTGCTGATCCCTCCCCTCAGGCTGCTCTCTGCAGCCATGTGGCAAGTGGCGCAGCGCAGAGACGTCCTCGGCTACGGAGTGCTCTGCGACTTTGTGACGCTGGTGACGGACACGGTCCCAGATCTGCTCGATGCAAAGCAACGAGGCAAATTACTGCTTCGACTGCGAGCCAAAGTGAGTCAGTGGATGCAAATGTGTAGAAATCTGAGCCAGATTGGAAGGAGTCATGGACGTGCTTCTGTGTTCCCTCAGGTTATTCTGGAGTTGTGTAGAAATGCGGAAACAGCCGACGCATTGCACGTCCAACCTCAGCTTGAACGAATTCGACCACAGGGATCCTCAGGAGTAAGTCACTGGGGGAAGTAAACCCTGATAAGATTAGCTAATTTACTCGTCCTTGTGTTCTTTTCTGCAGAGTGGAGATGCAGAGGTGGATGCAGAGGAGGCTATATTTGTCGAACTTATCCAAACACTATTAAACGATCCAGCAGAGAGGGAGCACTTCTACCAGGCGAGGAACACTTCATGATTTAACATGCCGGCTGGTTTTTAGTGCATCTAAGAGCTGATTGGATCAAAACAAAAAGAAACTCATCGATTGATATGCAGGGATACAAGAAGAGTTGGTTTCTTGGTTCAGAACATTGACGGCCAAGCAGAGAGGAACTGGAGCAGGATAAGAGGGATAACAGTAACTAACTCTGCCTGCCCAGAGGAACTTTCTACAGAAACAAGGAGAACAAAAAACAAATAAAGAAATTCTACAAATCAAACAAAAGCTAAAACTCCACCAATGGCTCCTTCCAGAAAGACACAAAGCAAACAATTTAATCATGGGGGCACTTTCTGATAAAGCTAAAAGAGTTTTATCAGAAATCGCAATCTAATCGATTACAATAAAAAAAAAGGATTCTGAGTCAATTTGAACTACATAGCAGAAATATCTATGTTTGTAACTCTATTCAAAAAAGAGACACGGCTAAACTAAAATCACTGGACTCAGAGGACTTTCTATTGACAGAGAAGCAAAAAGAGTAAAAAAAAAAGCTAATGGCAGCTATCAGAAACATAAAGCTAAACACAAGACATTGGCTCTGTTGGAAGTCCTGGGCTGCATCCTCCAAGGACGCGGTCTACCTAGACTGGATCCTTCGAAGTCCTTGAAAATTAGGAGACCAGAAGTGTTTTGGCTGTGAATTCGAACGGTCTACCCTTTGGCAGATTTTCCCGCCATAGGCTATGTTGCCTGGCAACCGCGATAGTTGACGCACAATGCAGGAAAAAAATGAAAACCGAAGTTTTAAAAACTGTTTGTTTATTTCTTTCTTTTTTATTCAGTGGAATAAAGATTCCAACCAGCGGTAGCAGGAACAAATCAAATCAAATGTAATGATAGAAACCTTAGTCAGTTAAATAACCTGCTGCTGTCATTCTGCACATCTCTGGTGTTGCTGCTATTTTCAAATATCCATTACTGTAAAAATGTCCATAGCTGCATATTGGTTATTTATTCTCCAGTTTTATATTGTCAAAACACTTTCTATTATTTTATTGTTTATATTTTAACTCTTCCCTATTATGTTATTCTTATACATTTTTCTAAGGTCCACATTTGTGTGACCTTTTTCAATAATCTTTCTGCTGCTGTAAATTTGCCCATTGTGGGACAATAAAGGGATTTTCTATTCTATAAAAGAGGTAGAAAGATAAGTAAATCTAAACAATGTATGTATAAAAATATATCTGCAAAATCTCTAATATTCCACAAAAAAAAAGTTCTTTGTTAAGCATATTGTGCAAAACAGCAATAAAAAAATTAAACTATCAGATTTATAGTCCCCACCCTGCAGATCTATTAGAATCTGTCCTTAAATTCCAGCCAAACCCATTTACACAGTAACAGATTAAAACCTTTAG